GTTCATCTGCGAAATCACAACCCCAAAGACAGTCTTCAATTTATATAAATTTTGAGTCACAGAAAGAAATAAAATAATAATATATTAATTAGTTATGGAAAAAAATACACAATATATCAGATCCTGAAATCAAAAGAAATTTCTATTTAATTTTTAGGTATGTGTTCTTCTAGATACAATCCACGACTGTATCATAGTATACCTAACTTCAGAATTTAAAGACCTCACGTGCCGTACACATAGTAAAAGAAAAAAACTGACCAAGAGCTAGTCAAACTCGCGCACGAAGTGTTCCGTACCAAAACTCTGTAACAAAAACACGTTTGTTGTATGGGAGACCCTTTAATTATTCATTTTATTCTGGTTTTTGGTATTTGCTGTCGAAACGACAACAAAAATACATCATCTGTGAAAATGTCTAACTATAACGATTCATGAGAAACAGCCTGATGACAGACGGACGGACAGACTCTGTTCTGTTTTTTATCCTTTAGGTATGGAACTCTAACTCGAATCTCATTATAAAAAAAAATAACTCTAAATTGTAACTAATATTAGGCCCTTGCATATAAAATTGGCGTTTTGTCGTACTGGCCACTTTAATCACAAATTTCACCTCCTTGGTTGGGAATTCCAAATTTATTTACAGCCACATGTATTTGTGTTTTCAGGCGTTTTCAGGCGGCATTCATTTGTTTTTTCTTCTTCTATTTGTCTTATTAACGTCACCCAATAGAAAAATTGAAAACTTGAAATATCGTGTTATTTACGAGTACGAGTTCTACCGTGGTACCAGTACTGCGGAAACGGCTCGAAGGGTTAACGATGTGTATGGCGGTTGTGTTGCAAAAGAAAATACAGTGCGTTTTCGGTTCCAACGTTTTCGTTCTGGAAATTTCGTTGCAAAACAAGCCCCGTGGACGGCCGGAGACCCAAGTTATTAATGCAGAATTAAAGGCTATTGTGGAAGCGGATCAATTGCAAACCACGTCCGAGTTAGCTGCAGGCTGCGGTGTTAATGATAAAACTGTTTTAATCCACTTGAAGCAAATTTGTAAGATTAAAAAGCTTGAAAGGTCACGAATTGAGTGAAGCAAACCGGCAAATCCGCTTCGACTGCTGCGTAACATTTCTTAACCGGCATTTTATACGATAATCGGAAGCGCTCATCGCAATGGTTGGACCGTGGCATGCCAGCCAAAGTCTGCCCCAAGCGAAAATTGACTCCAAAAGAGTTTGGTGGTCCAGTGCCGGTGTCATTCATTACAGTTTTCTCAAATCCGGCCAGAGGATTACGGCAGACGTCTATTGTCAACAATTGCAAACCATGCTGGAAGAACTAGCTGTTAAACAACCGAGGCTACTCAATCGCTCTACGCCATTTCACTTCACGACAACGCTAGACCACACACTGCACTGGAATGTCTAAGACATCCACCGTACTCCCCGGACCTTGCTCTAACAGATTACCATTTTTTTCGAAATATGGATAACTCTTGCAAGGGAAAAAATTCAACTCCGATGGGGCAGTGCAAATCGCCTTCAAAGATTTTATTGATTCCGAATGGTTTTTTTAGTAAGGGGGTCAATGAACAACCTATGAGATGGCCAAAGTGCATAGTAGATAATAATGGTTTATACTTTGATTAAATAAATATATTATATTAAAAAATATTCGATTTTTTGTTCCTCCCATACCAAACATCAATTTCATATTTAAGGACCTAATATTAATATTCTGTATAATCCTCTTCCTCAACAAAGCTTAAACTCCCCATTTTTGTATTTTAAAAGGTACATTTAACATGTTTTGCAGTGAGAAATTGTACAAGAATATCGATACCAGAAAAACCAACCTCTCGAAATTAATAAATCACAGGTTGTAAATAGATACTAATACCGCAGTTGGCAAAAGCTAGTCATTAAAGAAATTCAAATCAGAAACGAAAACCTATTTAAATGACGTTTGAAATAGCTTAAGTATGACTTGAGACATTCTTAACTTTAAATTATCAATTCAGAAACCGGGTACACCTGGTTTCTGAATTGTCCACTAAGTCAACTTGGCTTGGCAATCAAATCAAAACAAATACATATAAAAACAGGTGACCGTTTCCATAACACTATTATTGTCCAAGGTCCTTGACGGACACGGATTTCTAATAAAGCTCTTTTTTAAAGAAATACTTGGTGTGTCTGACTGAACAATTATCTTATTTTATATGGACAATACAGGTTTCAAATGATCAGGTATCTATGTAGCAATTTACTTAATAAACTGTTTCTCTTTCACATGTTTAGCTGATGCGCTTAATTCCTTTTTACGTTCTGATACAAATAAACGTCAGTTAACACGTTCATCGCGAGCCCAATTTTGAAGAACTTTCAGCTGGTGCGGTTGAGGTCGAATCAGCCCCAACCTGAACTTCCTTGTAGTGCGGTTGAGGCCTGTTCTGCCTCATGTTTTAACAGTTTGGTAAATGTGTTGTAACTTGATCAGGAACGTGATTCGAAGTCTAGTTTTATGCTAAAATTACTTATATGGTTTTGTTTTAACTACACCTAGCTTCGCCCCGGGTTCTGACTTTTAGTTTCAGAGAAAACACCTAAAATACATTTGAGGTGATAGGAATGAATTTATTTGCAATATCGATAAATGTCTATGTCAATGTTATACTTCTATTACTTCTTTATATTGTTATAGTATTGTGCAAAAAAAGTATGGGGTATTGTTAAATAAAATACAAATTATATATCATTCATCCAAATTTATTCTCTTTTTTAAAACAATGTAAGCACAAAGCTTTCTTGCGCGTTGAACAATTAATCAGACTTTTTTTTACTTTCTTTGCAGCCTGCATGGCACTCAATGAAAGCCGTAATTTTGCATTCGAAACAGATTTCTTACCAACTTTAACCTGTTGTTGATCTTTCTCACTGTCCAATTCCGAATCACTAAAAATATATTTTAACCTTTTACTGCACTTTTCACGAATTTATTATCCATATTTGTCTAATTATATAAACAAAAAAACATAAGACACAACGATATACTTATATTGCGCAAAGTCACGTGCTCCAGTATCGACTATAGTAGCGGCATTAAAGTCGACTTAACTGCTCCCGGGCCGCCCGGGCCCCCCACCGCTTGACCGATTATTAAATAATGTTGTGTTCAGTGCGTTTGAGGCTATTGAGACTATCGAGTTAATGTTTCGCAGACATTAAGATATCTATATTTGTCTTTGTCATACGTCATACCGTTGAGTGTAAACAGCCACCGCACGAGAGAGAAAACACGAGTTATACGCGCCGCACCAGCCCAAAGTCTACCATGAGGCTGAATCGACCTCAAGCCGCAGTGAACGTGTTAAAAATGTCGTAACTGTAGGTACACTGGTAACGATTATTATATAGAGGTAGGCAGACATAGGAACGCAGCGCGACTCCTGATGGTGAATTGTATATCAACGACCTCTCGCGCTTTTTAAGTGTTTTTCAAATATTTTCAAGTGTGTGTTTTGAACCCCATAATTGGGTGAATGTTCTATTTTCTTTAGTTTTTACTGCTCTTTTACAAGTACCTTGAAGTAATTTAACTTTTAAAATCACAAGTCCAATAAGTAACTTTGAATTCTTAAACTATTTCGTTATTTTATAATATTTAACTTTTTCATTGAACATTTATCTGAGATGAAAATCTAGTTCTTAATATGCAAAAATATTTTTATTCTGTTGCAATAAAAGTGAAATAGATATTTAAGGAAATATTATAGAATTTAAGCTATACATAAAGTAATAACATTCATAAAATTCAATATAAGTAATTATATTGAAACAAAACGGAGTTCTGAGACTACGCACAATTAACATTTTATTATTTTTCTACCTTACAGATTTGATATTTAATTTTGTCTGCTTAAAATCAAATATAACCGATACGTTGTCGTTTCGTTTCATTTTATAACATAAGATAATAAAAATCAAGATTTAGGGTTGTTAATTGCGACAACCAAAAACAAGGCTTTTAACCGACTTCATAAAATAAGGTAATAAGACCCGTAGATATTTATACCATACTTATCACAGGTTTTGGCAAAATCAAAAAGTGGGGTTATTAAGAATCAAAATAATAGTAAAACACACAGCATTGGTTGAAAACCTGTTTGATATTAATCACAAATACCTATTTATTAATAGTAGTATCCTGTTTTACTTCTTTGCAATAGAACTTGTAAAAGTTTGTGCGTTTTTCCAGTATGATCTATTCATAATATCTTCTACGCTTCTATTCTCTATTCAACATCTGGATGCAACAGCAGAGCATATGCTGCCTGGAGCTGTTTTCAACCAACCTCCTATTATCGTTCTGGTTGCTTAATATAAGTATCCCAAATTGGAGATCTTGTCTGTTTGTTTTTAAATATTATCTACATTAGCAGCACAGTATGTACAAACAGCAGACTTGTGTAAAAGAATGGTGCGATATGCAAATTCTCCTCTAAATCTGGCTACATCATTACTCTGGGGTGCTCTGTGGTTGATGTTAAGCATTTCGCACCATGTAATCCATCTTGTAATAGGAGCCTTATATTTGTCGAGTCAAGTCACGCCAGCTTTTAGTTGATAAAACTTTTTCTTCTGAAGACCAGTGAGCAACTTAAACCAACCACCTCTAACCTTCCAAACTAGTGGCTCTAATTCGTCTATTTGAGGCGGGTTCTTGCCCGTGTAAGATCTATCTAATTATTCTAGAGATCTGAAGATGAAGAAGACGATTCAGCCTCTGCGCTTATACGAAATACAAGTACTTTCTCTGGAGAAACGGTATTCGTACTTTTTGAACTTCGTTGTCGTCAGCCATTATACGAATAGCTCATCCAAAGAAATGAAAAACATATCTTCACCTTTGTCACTGACTTAGATACTACAATACTTTTCTTAATAAAAACTTAGAGTGAATATTATTGCGTGTTTAAGCGGCAAAATCTATAAACGCTATGACATTGAGAGTGACAGTCATCATGGAGCAGCTTCATGGAATAAAAGGGATAGACCATTCAGCCAAGGTGGTGAGTGAAAAAGAGATTACACTGAAGATTTTTAGATAAGCTAACATTATTTATTTATTTAAGGCAGAATCTACAGACGAGTCTTCGGCAAACGCTGTGTGTTTTAGAAATACATATTATAAATCTTTAGTCATGATTCCTATTAATGAACGTGAAACTATCCAAAAATAATTCTATTCGGATTGATTGTCCAATGGACACATGCAGTACAACTAACTAGTTCAATATAAATAATTTAGTTTTAAAAAGAACATTACAACTTCTGTACCTATATAAATATGATGAACACGGAAGACTAAATTTTAATAATAATACAACTTCTGTTAGATATAGATAGATGATATAATGGCGAAATGTGGTTACATGGAGATAACTGTTTTGTGTGTATTGACTTTCACAGTGACGCATGTTGTAGCAGGTATTATATTTCAAGAATAATTATAAATAAAATAGATATATCCTATGAAATGAAATTTTAAATCATGTCAATTATGAGACACAAAAATTAAACTGATATTTATTTATTTTTTGGGAACCAACAGCATCGAGTTTCATATATAATAAAATACAATTTGGTGATTCAATTGCATAAACAGTTTCTATTACTAAATAAGTAATAAATCTATCAAGTTAACTTACAGCAATAATGTACGTATTTGTAGTTTCTTCCCATAATTCTAAAATAAGTTTCTATTATACTATAACGGAAAAAAGGACGAAAAGAAATGAAAAATTATGTAAATTTCAGGGGTAACTCTGCCGTTTGTTTTCTATCGAAAATAGTGATTCACGTTTTGACAGAGACAAAACAAATATTCTCATTTTATTTTCTTTGGTCAAAAACAATTGAAAATTAGTTATTTCGATCTACAGCCCTCTTAACGTGCATAATAATAAGTGATGTGAATAGGGGATGGTGAATTCCGTCTTGACTACACGTACAGACCGGAAGCCAACGGATGGATCAAATTCCACAGAGTGCCGGCTCCGTGGTTGGAAGCGAGACTAAAATGCTACTATGAAGGTAATTGTGCCACTCAAAGTTAAATGTTTTTTTATTTTACTTTTCATTGTACACAACGTGTGCCAACCCTCTATTCGGATATCTTAAAAACGCAAGAGCTAATGTTTATTTAAGTGAAATTTTACTAATACGAGTATTAGAGAGAGCTGTTCAAAGCTATCCTGAAAAAACCCGTATTAAAATAAATCGAATGTTTAGGTAAGTTTTAGTTTTGCCTATGTCTTATTATCGAAATTAGAATGCTGTAAAATTGCAGGTCTTTCCAAAGACGAAACTTCATTGGCATCATTTTGAATTACTGAATGTTACAGACACAGTATCCAAAATCAAAGATTTTGTGTTTTTAGTTTAAATGACTAGTTAACTATTGTATATGCTAGAGTTGGATTCCGTGTTCCACTCTAATGGAGATATATATTGCAAGGTAGGCCATGATGATCTGAAACTGATATATTCGGTTAAATAATTCCGATATACGGCCACGTTTATGTAAAACTCTATGATCTGAAATGAAAGCATGCTATCGCCCTCGAATGATGAATGTGGTTTGTGTGCAGGCGCTGTGCTAATGTCACCGATCAACGACCGACTGTACGCTGTAATGAGGAACATGATGCTGTCGCGCAGTAATCCCTCTTTCACAGGCGTGCAGTCTCTTACCTCCACAGGCGACTATATCTCCATCGAAGGTAGAATCTGAATACCTACACTCGAGAAAATATAGATCTAAAATAGATTCATGTCATCCTATATGAACCTTGTGATAATTATCCAATTACGAAGATTTAAATATTATGATTTAATGTTCGGAATCAGTCCATTTGTTCCCCAATAAGATCGGTGCATATCTGACGGATAAGCAATGTAAATTTCGAATTGAATATTAAAGCAACGTAAATTTCGTTTTATTTCTTTTTGTTGTTTGAAATTATAATACAATAAAATATTATTGAATTTTAATTTTCGCCTTTTAGATACAAAGTATATATAAATAAGATGGTGATAGTAAAAGTAAAGTATGATTAAAAGAAAACAAACTTTGTTTATTTGTCAATAGGTATTAATGTATTACAAATGCCTGTACAATGGACCAAAGGGGAGCCCGACAATCTGGATGATAAGGAGCGGTGCCTAGCTATACTGACGGACGGATCCATAGCTGACGTCAGATGCGAGGAGGTGCGCACCTACATGTGCTATAAGGAAAAATTCGGCAATGAGACCATCACCGATTGTGGCACTTCTGACAAAGGTAAGGAAGAAAATTTTGATAATATCACACAAATGTGTGATATTATCAATAACTTTGAATTAGACAACGGCACTAAAGTTTTGAGGACTTACTTTTCACTAATGATCTCAAATGGAAGTTTTACCTCCCAAAGACTCAACCAGGCTATACAAATAGCGCCTTGAGGAACTGCTATTCCTTCGGCATTATGATACAACCGGAGAACTTTTTGGAAATTTATTGTTTTATTTTGTTATTGAAATGTGAAATGATTGCACAGAGTATAAATATGAGCGTCGCACCGGTAGCTGCTACAAATTCCACCCTGATTGTGTTACGTGGTGGCGCGCGCACATGGCCTGCTCCTCAGAGGGAGGGTACCTCGTCATTGTGAACAGTGAGACTGAGGCAAAGCTGCTAAACGAGAAGTATAGTAGAACATTTTATATAGAACATACTCATCATCCTGATTTGTTTCAATCTTGCGAGCATATGATAAGCTGAGTTTGTTTTAAACACAAATATCTTCAAAGGTTTGTTCGTAATCGTGTAAACAAAGCTTAAGATATTTGGATTGTTCTAATCGGCTACTTACTATCTCTTGATCACAGTAACGTGAGAGGCGTCACTGTTGTGCTATTCTATAATAAAAATACCTTTCAAATCGAGTTTGAACGATGTCACAGCATAAAGGTTCAATAAAATAAAATCTACTTCAAATGGTAATAAAAGACTTCAAGTTCGAGACTGGATTTTATTACAGAATATCATAGTTAGTCAGCCAATTTTTGTGATAAGAAATTAATTACAAACTTTTATGAAATTATGGTACAGGTACTCCAGCAGAAAGATCAAATGCCACGAAGAAAGATTCATACACGTCGGTTTCAATAATCCGTATTCGGACCGTGCGTACTGGTTCACTGTCGACGGTGAGTAAAAAGCAGAATTTTATATTGTTCAATAAAAAGGCGAGTACAAGGTACATATTAAAAGATAATATCTTTTTCATTAAAATTGAGTCTTTTTTTCTGAGTTCTTCTCCAGATTCTACTAATATTATAAAGGCGAAAGTTTGTAGGTTTGGATGTTTGTTACTTTTTCACGCAAAAACTACAGAACAGATTTAGTTGAAATTTGGTATATAGGCAATTCTTGGTCCGGATTAATATATAGGCTACTTTAAAGAAAAGTTGGAGAGCTTTAAATTATCTATAAAAAAAGTTCGCGATAGCGTACGAAAAGTGTATTTAATTTTTTTTGTCCGTCTTTAGACATAAATCAATTTCAACACATAAGTCGATTTTCTAAATACTATTTCATGTGTATGTATCTACTATGACTTAACAGTTTTTTTTTTACATGTATTCGATAACTTTTATATTTATTACTTTAAGTATTATTATTATTGTGACATTTAGAAACTCAAGAAAAGTTACGATAATTGCGCTAAGCAAAATGTGAATCAATTAACACTAACTCAGAAATTCGGAAGATTACTTACAACAGTACATAGACATTGCTACATACATATGTAAGTACGTAGGTATATTCTGAGCCCAAAAGAGTAATAGAAATAAAAATGAACTAACTATAACGGTTTATGAGAAACGACCTGATGACAGATTGACAGACGGACGGACAGACGGAAGGATGAAAAATTGATTCTTAGCAATAGGGTTTTGTTTTTATACTTTAGAAACGGAACTCTAACACGAATCTCATCACAAAAAATCTAACTCTAAATCGTAAGTGATATCGAAGAAACTGCATTCTACTTTTCATATGTTCTGTAGAATCCTCTTCCTCAACAATGCTTAAACCCCCCGTTTTTTGTATTTTTATTTAAAAAGCCACGCTTCGGCATGAATGGGCCGGCTCGACCGGAGTGATACCACGGCCTCACAGAAAACCGACGTGAAGCAACGCTTGCGTTGTGTTTCGTCTTGTGAGTGAGGGTACCGGAGGCCCAACCCCTCCCTATTCCCTTCCCTCTACCCCTCAACCCTTCCCTCCAAGGCCGGCAGCGCACTTGTAGCCCCTCTAGTGTTGCAGGTGTCCATGGGCGACGGTAATCACTTACCATCAGGTGATCCGTCTGCTCGTCTGCCCCCTATCCCATAAAAAAAAAAGATATATTTAACATGTTTTGGAGTGAGAAAATTTTTAGGAATAACGGTACAGGGTTCAAAAGTTAATTTTATGCTGGCTACCAGAAAAACTACCCTCTCGAAATTAAAATTAAAATCCCAGGAATACACCTTCACTTTGGCATCAAGTTTGTGAGGTTGGTTTACCATGAGTTGTGAAATGTTTATATCTTACCATTTTTACCAGGGAAGTCATACTTTTTTAAAAATAATCCTTACTAATAATATAAATGCGAAAGTAACTCAGTCTGAAACCAAAAGTAAGAGACACTAAACAAGATAAAGAATAGATTACATACGAATTCTATGAAAGGAATAAAAAGACAAGTAGAAGTTTGTTTGGGGATATTTTATTTACTTTCATTCTCATACTTGCTTCTACTTTTCTTTATAACCGAATAATTCGCTTTCATATCAATTTATAAAGAATGTAAACTTGGAAAAAAAACAACCTCAAAATTATCCAATAATTCCTATTCTTATAAAATCAATATACAAAATTTTTATTCGGACGACGATTTGACGGCAAAATCTTCACACGTCTGACTTCAAACGAAGTTTATTTTGTCATTATAAGAATTTATTTACGATTTAGAAGTACAGAATAAAATAGAAAGCGTTTATTTGGCATAAAATATAAAGTAATATTACATAGCAAAAAAATCAAAAGACATATATATAGTATATAGTCTCTAGACCAAACGGGCCTCTGCTCAGTATGAGATTTTTGACTTGAGGTTCAACAAGACGCTTAACATTTAATAATTAGTAACACATATTAGTTACTCGTAATTTTAGTAAAGTCTGTTTATTAATGAAATAAACCTTTTTATCATAGGGTTTCTATGTGACAACCGCCAGCCACATTAAGTTCATTTTTGCGATGTAGTTCTACCAGTTTTTTTTTAAACTTAAACAAAACCAGTGATCTAAATTCGCCAAAGTTTTAATGGGGTTATTTCGAGACTTTTTCAAACAAAAAAAGTGCAATATGAATACAAGAAAACAGTGAAGTTGAAAACTTATTCTTATTTTTTGAAGTTGATTAATAATTAACTACTGTAAATATATACATATACCACGCAAACGAAGTCGCTGTCAAAAGCTAGTTGTCAATAAGTAGTAACCTTAGGACTATGAATATGGAATTGCAAAGTCATTTTTTTATTCATTCTATACTGTAATACTTCGAAATCTAGCAACTTTTACACCCAGTCTGTGCAAGACCCGCTGTACACCACCCGTACTCAAATTCACAGGCACAAGAACGCCTCTTCATAGAGCATCTTCAGAAGTTGTTAGACAAAATACATACTTATTTAACGGCAATAATATACCTAGATGGATAGAACATACATATGGAATAGGGATAGACAATATCATCTTTTTCTTTGACTCCAGGGAAGCGTCTAGAGGAGGCAGGTTACGACCACTGGGCACCTAATGAACCGAACAACGTGGCTGGACTCGAGAACTGCGGCTCCCTCGCTAGGAACGGCGACGGCCTTAACGACTGGCCGTGCAACGATGGATTACCGTTTGTCTGTGAAATACCAAACGTTTACCTCTAAAGGAAAAAACGAATAAAAATATCTTTTACCATTAAACCATTTCTTTAATTTTTAGTTTGTTTAGTTTAAGATACGGAATTAACATTCATATTTAATCGGGAGTAATGTTCGTATTCAATAACGAATCGTCTATTCCTTATACTTAGGGGGCGTCCATAAATTACGTGAGATGTTTAAGGGGGGAAGGGGTCGAGGCAAATCTCATCTAAACTTACGTTGGAGAGAGGGGGGGTCTCGGCAAATATCAAGCAATTTTTTTTCTGATTGAATCAAAAAAAAATACTATTTTGGTCCATTTAATCCAGATTGTACACGCTTAAGATTTAATCTTAAGCGTAATCGTATACGATTAAGATCATTCACTAATTCGTTCAAAAGAAAATAATTTCATTCATACTTCGACTCTATACATCTACTGAATGTCAAACCACCATATTTGTAGGGTTCGAACGATACTTTCGATATCGAGTAGGTATCGATACTTTCAAAAGTGATACTCGATACTACAACAAGGCAAATACTCGCAAGTACTCATCAAATTGCATTTTGAAAAATCTCACGTGAGATTGGGGATGGGGGAGGGGGTTGAATAAAATCTCACGACATCTCACCAGGAGGGAACAACTACGTGGAGGGAGGGAGGGACAGAAAATTTAAAAAACACCTCACGTAATTTATGGACGCCCCCTTACGAGTATTTAGGATTCCGTAGTTTCTCAAAAAGATATATAGATTTTTCGAAACGAGGAATCTCTAGCGAAAGCCCTAGTTGTCTGTCTGTCCGTCCCTGTGTCACAGCCACAGCCACAGAACTGTGTTGTTATTAGTAATAAATGCAGAGTTCGCTCAAATAAAACCCGTATTACTTATTAAATCTCTAAAAAAATTTGAAAACCAATCTACAAGTCGAGGAGAAATCGATGAAATCCTACTAACGAAAAAAGTAACACAAAAAATAATAAAACATACATAACCGACCTCCTCCTTTTCGACTTTGAAGTTGGTAAATGACGAAGTTCCTTAATTCAGGCCCATATGGTCTATATTCAGTAATGTAATCTACGCGGTTTTTGGAATCAGAGTGATAAGATTTTATTTTCAGTACTTTGGCAATATTCCTTGTAAAATGATTCTCGAAAAATCATAGTCATAAGTATTTCAAATAAAGATAACTTCACGAGTGTTGTGATTTTAAACTCTCTTAAAAGTTATTCAAAATTAATGGCAGATGACATTAATTTCTTATACTCATTCCTATTGTTGAGTATTGAATTTGATTCCCTAGTTGTACTAGGGAGTCAATCAAATTGATGTACTAGGGAATCAAGTTGATTCCCTAGTTGTACTAGGGAATCAAATTCAATATCGTTTATTCAGTCTAGGCTATTACAATGTGATAGTCGAAAACTATGCCATCGGTTCGCAAATCTATGGCGGGATACCTTATACTGAGAAGACCGGCAAGAAACTCAACAAGGAGTGCTTTTTGCTCCTTATGAGAATTATTATTCCTTAAAATTCGTTTCTATGTTGTTGTTTTAATTAAATGAATACCATTACATTATGATTGTGTTTATATTATATTTATTTTTACCCACCTTTTTATTATTATACTTAGATATCTAATACCTATCTACAAACATATTTCTTTAATTTTAACTTATCTGTGCAACACAACAGGTAGGTACATTTTTATTATTACCTACTTAATATTTGAAAATAACTTTCCATTACATACTACCTACTGCTATCTGTTCCTCTACCATACTATTTGTAATCATAAAATTATTATTTTTTTGTTCGTTTAAATAGAAACCATTTAATATCTTCAAACCATTAAGATAAATCATTATTATAAACACGTACGAAGACCGCAATTCTATAATTATGTCATATAAATTGGTCAATTTCATTAATATAAATAAATAAACACAAAACACGATAACAGGAAAATCATAAATATATAAACCTGATCTCTGATTCAAAATTTCTTAGTCGTTCCGTATAAAGTGGTCCCCACCCATTAATATTATTAGAACAGACACACCTTATTCTGTTGTACACACGGTTGCAGGTCAACCTACCACAATATTTCAAATTTCCTCATTTGATTTTCCACTCTACCCTCGATGTGTTAAGGTTTGAAATTAAATAGAGAAATTTGACAGATTTGTTTAAAATATTTAGCTTTAGCCTGTACAATCGATGCGTCTTTGCCAACGCAAAGGTAACTTACTGACACCCTTCTTTAAAATATCACCTGGACGGGAAGCAACAAATTTTCAAAGGCATTAAATACTGCCTTTCGCCTTTGATAATTGTTATAATAAGTTTTGTTTCCCCACAAGAAGTCATCCAAATTCTGGAAAATGTAGAAGTCAGTAGGCACTAACTCTGGTGAGACCTACAAAGAATGTTGAAGAAATTCTAACTCCAGCTCTTGTGTTGTGTGTTGCGGAGTATGAGATCACGCGTTGGTCGAAAGCTGGTTGAAGACGCACGACCTTTTCCGTAAAACTCATCCCGATTGGTAAGAAGCTGTGATGAATAAAAACACCGGACTATACCAAATAGTGACCGTCACTATTCTCGGCTACAAAATTACTAACATATTAGTCCATTTTTCCTACAAAAACAGGAGTTCAATTGCTGACAACAAGTAATGTAAAGGCACCTTTGTGCTTTATATCGAGGAAATTATAAAATTTCACTTTTCGGCAGTCACTCTAGAACCCAAATATAATGTTTTCACATTGTTAACGACAGCCCATTTTGTGTATTTTTTAAAAGAAAACTAGTTCAAAGTTGGCGTTTTGTGTGAACACGGCCTTTTAAACTACCCTACAATATTTTATAAGCGTTTACATGACACAATGTACTAACTTCTAAAAGACAAAGCTTAAAGCAACAATTCTAAATACAGCTTTAACATATCCAAGTACGCTTAAAGCATTATAAACTTTATTCATAAAGCGCTTCACACATTAACATATTTCTCGCATTAATATCAACCATTCGGCTTTTTAATACACGAACGAATAAACGTGCGCTGCCGAGATTTAAGTGATCGTCACCATACATTGTGGCCATATCGCTCGTGATTATCCAAAATGCAACTTGTTTTTGCATTTAGTGTGATCTTTAGTTTTTACCTGACCACCTCTATTGCGTCACGTGCTAATTTAGAAGGTATGCAATGTTTGTTTTGTTTATTTTAATAGGAAACCAGAATTCAATTCGCATAAAAATAATTATTACTGAGATATTTGTCTGTTTTTGTATAAAGATTTAAATAATCAATGTATAAAACTCTTTAATCCCAAAGATTATTAACGTGTTTTATTAACGTTTTGAATAACTTTTGTATTTTGTTATAATCTGTTTTTATTTTGTTTTGTCCTTCAATTTGAAACTTCTATTTAACCTTGATCTATCATAAAACATCAGGATTATTATTTTTAATTATCTACATTTTTCCTTATACGCTTATAATATCGTTTTATCAATTTGTATAGAGACAAAACACGTTTCACTTATAAATTTATGTTAGGAAATATATACCTATGTCCCTTTAAAAAAATGCTTATTTTTGATTGACCTCGGGTGCTCCAGCTAACTAGTAAAAAAGGCAATTGTTTTCTTAGCATACGATTTTGTAATTCATCTAAAAGATATCGTTATGAACAACGTGTATATATTTTTTATTATCATAATTATGATTCTTTAAGTTTTACATTGTTATGTTTAAATATACGTCTTACAAACTTGATATTCCGCGACTACACCAGCTCAAGAACTTTGTAGCTTAAGTTATCCACGTATGTTGAAGTTTCCCGTAGATGAAAGAAATTTTAAAATCGGACCGTACCAGGCCTGGATCTACGATTTTTTCTAACCGGGACAGAAACTTCGTCCGTCCTTCCTCTAGTAATTTCGCTCCGTGAAGCCGGATTTTATATTATCATATTTTTGCAATGAATTATATTTTACTTTCTTTCTTTTCTTTATTTTTCTTTCTTGTAAATGAAATATTATTTAGAGATTTTTGAAGCATATCCGTCCGATCGTAACCTTTAATGTGTAAGGAATTTCTAAAGCTGGTTTTGTTACTGTAAATAGGTATTATATTATGATAATTTTGGCGCCCCCGTATCACTGGTGCCCGGGGCAAGTGACCCCACCTGTCCACCCCTAGATCCAGGCCTGAACTAAATTTTCAGGGCCTATACGATGCAGACAATCAAATCTTTCCTCTTTATATTATTAGTATAAAAGTATATCTATATAGTATTAGATGTATAAAAGGATATGTCCTGGCATACTGACTGACAGACAACGCACAGCCTAAACCACTGGTTAAATTATTTGTTTTAACGTTTTCAGTAATGCTGCCCAAAGTAAATATAACACGCAGACGACGTGGCGGGCTAGTATTAATATAAATAAGATATTTAAAGTAGGTATCTGTTGTGTTTGTTGAACAACATTAGCTTGTTGGTGATAAGTTATCAGCAAAGTAGATATTTACCTATAACAATCCGAATATTCACCTCATCATATTCCGAATTATGAAACGATATTTTAATATTAGTTAAACATTTACTTCACAGATGTTCAGCAATTCCGCCATGATTACGTTTACCGTCGTGATGCTAAGGGATGGTTCAAGTTCCACGAGATACCAGCTACTTGGGAGAATGCGAGGGCGAAATGTTTCCATGAAGGTCTGTACATGATCTATTTGCTTTGAGAAGAAAGAACACCAAACTACGGCGAAAGCTGTTGCTACTTTATTTTTTGTATTGCAAGATTACATAATTTGATTTTCCATATCTTATACACCAATGAAGATGCCTGTGTACAAAAAAGTTAAAGTATTTTTTTTCTTTTCTGTAATGTTCGCACATATTTTAATTCTCTTTTCAGGGTCTCTGGATTTACTATTCATGGCCAGTTACTTAGTAAATTCTTTATGATAAATGCAGGTGCAGTGCTGGCTTCACCAATCAACAAACAAGTGCTCGCCGCCATGCAGGATATATTGAAAGACCAGAATCATATGGCGTTCACAGGAATTCAGTCGCTTACATCCACAGGCGACTATTTCTCTATAGAAGGTATGTTTTATTTTTTATTATAAGACTGGGTTAACGTTTGGCCACAATCCTGATGGTAAGTAATATGTGGCCTAAGAAGGCATATGCCAACCCAGGAAGCGTCTATTCATTCTGACTTTGGAGAGTGCTAGGTTATACTGATTGGGTAATACATGGTCAGGCAAACATTCCGATCCTGAGCTGTTCAAAAAAGAATCGAACTGGCATACCGCTTTGTAACTTAAATGTTATGAACAGAGTAATGCAAAAAGTTTTTGCATTCACAATGCTATACTAATAAATATCTTTTTTAAAAAAATCACCAGACCCAAGTAAAGATACTTTAAAAAACACCTTTCGCATACAGGACGACTGTTTCTACCATTGAGCTACCCGAAACTGAACAGAACTAACGAATTTCCCAAGTTCTTATTACCTACTTATGTAAATTATAAATGATTTCTATCTTTTCCATCCAAATCCTCTTAAGTTACAGATTCAAACAATACATATTTTCAGGTATCCATCTAATCCAAATGCCGGTAGAATGGCGAGCTGATGAACCCAACAACTTGGGCGACGAGGAGCACTGTCTGTCCATGTGGCGTGATGGCACCATAGCAGACGTCCGATGTTCCGACACACGATCCTTCATATGTTATAAGAATAAAACTAAGGATCTGTACATGAACTCATGTGGTGTATCTGATAAAGGTAATAAATAGGGGCGTATTTACCGTAGGGCCAAAAATGCCATGACACGTGGCGGCATGAAATGGCAGTTCAACTACAGTTGCCATATCTCACGTTTTGTCCTGGGATCTCAGGACTTTTTGACCCTTCTCAGGTTTACGGTCGGATTTTGCAAATCCCAGGAAAGCTCAGGATTTTTAGAATTTTTATTAAATAACTCTTTAGTTAAAGTTATACAAACCAAAATAATGTTCCTAACTTTGTGATGTATACAACGAGTGAGCGAGATGCTCGAGTTCCATAGTGTATAAAAACGATAATAATTTGACTTTTTTAAATTATTTAATACGTTTGCAAGATAAAAATGCAAAAAAAATCAAGATTTTTTCGTTATTTCCTTGTTTAAAGATTTCTATTCTATTGCATGGCGCATTAGTCTAGATGTAGACGAAGTCACATCAGCAAAGCCTATTGTACATCTTCCCAAGTTGTTTATACATAGATATTTAATTTTTGTTTCATTTTTTATTATCTCTCTGATTCTCACAATGTGAAAATCGTGAAGATTCATCACCAAAATATGTAATACTAAATGCGCATCTAAACAAAATGTACCAAAGTGCATAAATTGATGCATTCTGCTGTGCAATCAGTATTTTCCTGGTAAGGTTAGGTTAATGTGATGTTTTATTCAATACAAGCCTTTTTATGTTGACTAGCCTACTTGGAGGTGTCTCCCGGTCAATGCTACAAGTTCCATCCTGAGTGTTTGGACTGGCGGCGCGCGCACATGGTCTGCTCCGCGGAGGGCGGCCACTTGACGATCGTCAATAGCGACGCGGAGGCTCGCCTCCTGCACGAACTATTCGCCAACAAATTCTACACCAAATCCAATTGCGGAACTATGTACATGCATTTCGGCTTCCGTAATCCTGATCACAGCACGAATGCGCCATACTGGTTCACTCTGGACGGTAATTAATCTATCATGAACAAATTTCACTATGATAGTCTTCTGAATAAAAGACGCCATGATGTCCAAAAAAACAATTCCGAACGTCACGTATTAGCTTAGCAAACTTACACTCCATGTAATAAGGTTGAAAATCAAGTTAAAAATTTATCAATTTTGTATAATCTGACGTTCTGTTGACTGTGCCTTGTCTGAAATTTGAGCCATGGTGTCATGTAGTCTTCATTTACGAGAAAAACCCCACAGAATCTCATCATTCGTGCAATTAAAAAAATGCAAATATGCCACGGCCACACCAAAATTAACCAAACTTGCATCAATGCTGTAAAGACTGACCTCGCAAAGATAGATCCCTAGCTTGAATATATCTATTAAATGTATCTAATTAGTAACCACGCCCATAACTGTGAACATTTACTTATAAACACTACTAGGTTGGCCCAATTTTGACAAATTTAAAACATCAAATGAGCGCCATCTATTGACAATAGAGAAGAATGTAACTGTGACGTTTCATGTTAACTATCCAGGTCAAACATTAGAGGAGGCCGGCTTCGCTAGGTGGGGTCCCGGGCAGCCAGACAACTTCGGCAACCTAGAGGATTGCGGATCGGCTTTCTTCCATAACGACACTAAAGATGACATTCATCTCGCTCTCAACGATATTACCTGCAGCAGCAGACTCCCCTTCATATGCGAGATCAACGGACCTAGGATACCATTCGCTGATGACCATGATTAAACTAGTCCAGTACCTACTCATAATAAAATATAGGGAATAATGAAGTTTATTTTTCTCACCTTTTATCTGCAAATAAAGGAACAAGGTATTGGGTATTATTTAAAAATCTTCTAACCTTTATAGATATAATATAAGTAGTATGTACTACTAAGTCGATATTATATCACTGGTTCCGCTAGAGGTAAATAGCACGACATTTATAGTAATTTTGAAAGAAGAAACTATTATGCAATGTTATGAAACGAGGGATAACTCTTTACAGATTTACAAGAGAATGAGTCTAATTAAATAATTTATTGATAAAAACAAAAGATGTTACAGCAATAATAAAAAAGAGGTGTGTGAGGTGAGTAATGAAGTGTAATGAGAATGTAAGTAGTGAAGGTGGTCCGGTAAATTGGGTGCAGGTCGGAAGTGCGCCCCACAAAAGAATAGATTTTAAGAAAAACGAAGAGTTAACGATTTCGGAATAATGAGATGGGAAGAGTAGAAAATTAGAGTTAGTGTACTAAGTAAAGGAAATTAGTGGTAAAATAAGAAGATTTAAAGTGAGAGGTATACTAAGTACTGGAGATGAGTGGTAAAATAAGAAGAAGTGTTTCAGATCTCAGTAAAGAGAACAAGTTAAAACACGTATACTTCTTCGACTCCGAATGAGCATCCATTTTAAGTATTCTTTAAAAACTATCTTATCATATGTTTCATAATAAAGCAAAATATTTCTAAAACCTTTTGTTAAGAACTATTAAACACAAAGAATTCACAAATATTATTCAAATAAATTTTACAGTATCTTAAGAAAGTCAAAGAACGATGCCTTACGAATCTGTCAATTGCAGTGGAAGTGACAGAAACGTCAATATTTTTGCTTAAAAAAATGACAAGTGCCAAATTATGAAATAAATTATATTAATTATTATAAGAACATTATCAAAAATTGGGTACAACCAACTTTTTCATCAACCTTTGATACATATTTGTACTCGATATCATTAATCTAATGTATCACATAACTGAGAAACTTGCCCTTCACAAGATTTTCAGATGCTACTTTGGAATTATTTTCTATGGAGTGAAATTAATACGAAATACGCTCATACATAACCACATTTTTTTTTGGAAATAATATGAGCTATTGGTTTCCGTGAATTACTACGACTCGAGCTTAATTTTTTCGATTAGGACTACCCAGCCCCTTAATTGCAAACGAAAATTTACTAAACATAAGTACACATTAAGTTATTAATAAAACATAAAATTTTAGCAAAATCGTATATTTCTCTATATATATCACATTTACTCACAACATCATGAATAGTAAACATATGGTTGCTTTTGCTTTCAACAGATATTTTCTTTACAAATTCAAACTTTAATTACAAACATATAAAACTCACAGTAAAATGAAATACACAAACGATAACTTAAGATCCATAAGAGATCAATTCTCATTTTAATGTTGAGAATTTTTGTGAATACATACCTACATTTTTTTATAATTAACAATATTTCATTTAAATACATTACATTATTATTTATAGCGTTATATTTTTTAATTATTATTACGTTACAAATTACCAAATTTCTAAATACCTAATAAGAATTCAAGAACAGATAACCCTGTATATATTCACTAAGAAACATCAATATATAAAAAAATGCAATCAAATACTGTTCCGATGAAAATTGACTAATACAATAATAGATCTTAATAGTTAATTATTATAAAGTAAAATTGATTTAATAGTGTATAAAAGTTTCTATATAAATAAAATAATCTATGTATATATTTGGCGATATAAGGAAGACTTCGTTATATAAAATCACGCTCAATAAATGAGATATTGCGCAACACTGATAATTATTATTTTGAGATTGCTCCTGACGCTCCTCCTTTCACTTATTAGAACTTTAAAACAATTTACAGCTTACATTAATATCATAAATATTCGAATAATATCCACATGTTTAGTTAATAAGGCCATCTGCCTTAAAGTAACCTTCAAAGCACCACAGAATATTTAACCATCTCTAAGCTCCGAAGGCAGGGGGGGGGGGATTACAGAATACGCTTACCTACCAAGTTTCAACTGTGTAATCCTAATTTTATAAATTTATTATGATATACGAGCGGACAAACAAAATCTATAAGGGTCCCGTTTTTGCCAAGCGGTAAAAAACATAATAACCTATAGACGCCACAATGAATGCGGTGCATTTACAAATATTTATTATCCAATTAGGGCATTCAAAAGATATCGTACGTTTTAAATATAATAATTAGCACAAATAATAAATCGCGATTAACTAAAATATGTATTCATCATAATTTAACCGCCTCCAAGTTTCGAAGAAGAGATGGACGATAACGGGAAACATCATAATTAACGGGAAATACTGAATAAATTAGAACATTAGATCATATACTATTGTAAAACAAGGACATTTTATCACCGCAAAGACTCAAATAATGCTCGAAAGGTAAAAAAACTAGAAAGAAAATAACCCCGAGCGTGTAAATCAAGCAATCTCACGTTCATACAGATTACCTGAGATATTCAAAAGTACGTATGAATTATAAATACACTTTTTGTACGTAGATTATACTTTTTTTGTAAATATACTCTTCGTAGATTTTGTATACGCAGACAGTAAAGTTGCCTCTGATCCTCGTATTATTTCTGCTTGCCTCAGGTTTCCCTATCGATAATAATGTACCAGCAAATTTATATCGCCGATATATCGATATCGAACGCATCCCTAATTTACAACCATCTCTTCTGCGCTTCCTCGCCCTGGTTGAGACAGTTGCTGGACCCCTGCCAGGAGAAGGAACTGTCTGTATCACCGTCGTGGCTGCGCCTCTCGTGATAGGAATGAGTCCTGTTTTCCATCGCCAGAGATCTCGGTCTTCCCTCCAGAAGGGAGTGACTCAAACGGGAAGCGTCGAAGTGGAATTCTGCGTTGGAAGGTTTCCGAACCTCCTGGAGATATTTCCAGGTGTGACTGTCTGGGCCCTCGGTTGGGGCTCGTGGATTGTACAACCATTCTGAACAACAAATAATATTCTTAATGAAAATGTTTAAAAAATCCACTTTTTATTTTAAAATTGTTGTAAGTGTATTTTTTTTTTTTCTAAAATTATCTGTAAATTACAAGAACCAAAACGCAGGCGGCCATGACTAAGCATAGTGTGACGTCACATTTCAATAAACTACACGAAAACAGTGTTATTGCGAGTGCAAACAGTACTCATGTTTATTGAAATGTAACGTGACTGATTGATGTTGCAGGACAATTTAAATTAATGAATAAATATAGGGTATGTTCCGATATACACTGTGAGCACTGCGCAGTGGTCTTACTGCTGAAAAATCCGTTCCGTTATGGACTGCCAGTACACTGCTACAGTACCCTAGGGAAATTCATGACGTCATAAATTGCCGCTATATTTGCACTGTGAGCACTGGAGATTTCGAGGTAAGATGCTCGCAGTGCTTTTGATCACGTGATCAGTCGAAACAGAATCAGAAAACGATAAGTTTCTAAATAAACAAAAAAAATACTTACGTTTATTATAAGATGGATTTAATAATAATAATAATAATAAAATACTTTATTGCACTCAATATGATACATAGTTTACAAAAAAGCTTAATATCTAAGAGATTGAGTAAACAAATGGCGGCCTTATTGCTAAACAGCAATTTCTTCCAGGCAACCTAAGGTGAAAATGGATAAAAAATAAAGATACTATGGGGAGTGGGTGCAATATAGAGAAGGATAAATAAATAAATAGCGTTAATATATTATAATAAACAAAAAAATAAATGTATACATATGAAATGAATTAAACAGTTTAATAGTGAAAGAATAATATGAAAATAGTTTTAAGATGTGGAAAGGAAATAATTTCTAACTTCATCGCTAAAGGATCCCAATGATCGAGCCCTCCTGATACCCTCTGGAAGAGAATTCCACAGACGCACAGCATGCACAGCAAAAGAATAAGAATAGAAATCTGTATAGTGACGAGGGATTTCGAGAGTGAGGTTTGAAGAGGAACGTAATGTACATTGTGATGAAGAGGAGCGAAAAGAGAATGATTGTTTAAGATATGGTGGAGATGATGGGAGGAAAAGTATAGAGTAAAGAACCGTGAGAGTATGCAAGTCCCTGCGTCGGCGAATAGGAAGCCAATTTAACTTTGAACGGTAATACGACACATGGTCATATTTTCGAAGATTGAAAATAAATCTAATGCATACATTCTGCAGACGCTCTAGTTTGGTGAGAAGTTCTTCTGAGAGATCTGTATAGCACACATCAGCGTAGTCGATAATAGACAACATTAGGGAATGTGCCAAAGTGATTTTGGTACTGATCGGCAAAAAATTACGCAGACGACTCAGTGAACCATACGCAGCAAACACCCTCTTTCTGACTGATTCCACCTGAGGCTTCCAAGAAAACTGTTGGTCAAAAATAACTCCAAGGTTTCTGACTGTTTCGGAATAAGGGATAACAGTACCGTCGAAAATGATAGAAGGCAGCTCACTAAAGTCGATCCGGGAAACGAAATGACGACTGCCTATTACTATAGTTTGAGTTTTAGATGGATTAACTATTAGACCGTATGATTTACTCCAGGCACTGATAAGTGACAGATTAGAATTAGTAACCAAAACAGCCCTCGAGAGGCTAGTTAACAGTACCTGAGTATAGATCTGGAGGTCATCAGCGTAAAGGTGATAGGAACATGAAAGAGACTGTGTGATGGAATTTATAAAAATAGAAAAAGCAGAGGAGATAAGACGCCACCCTGAGGAACACCGGCATCAATATCACACCACGCAGACACTGTATCGTCAACACGAATACGTTGCCGGCGCCCTAGCAGGTAACTTCGAAACCAATCAATTGCAGCCGGAGATATATTAAGAGAAGCCATGACACCGAGAAAAATGTCAAAATCAACGGAGTTGAAGGCGTTACTAAAATCAAGTAACGTTAACAGCGTGAGCTGTTTGTTCTCCATACCCCATCTAATATCATCGGTAATCTTAATCAGCGCAGTAGTAGTGCTATGGCCCGAACGGAAACCAGACTGAAAAGGATTGAGGATTTGGTTGGAAGTAAGGAAAGCAGTAAGCTGCTGAGAGACAAGTTTCTCAAGAACTTTGGAAAGAAAAGGAAGAATAGAAATAGGACGATATTCGGAGAATTCGGTAGGGTTTGATTTTTTCGGAAGTGGAATGACGTTTGCATCTTTCCAGGATGTGGGAAAAACTCCAGTCAAAACTGAAGTATTTAGGATTTTGGTAATTATGGGGCACAGGATATCAATAATGGGTAGGATCATATTGCGACTGATAGAATCACTACCCACTGCACTGGAAGTAATAGATAAAATAGCTCTCTTAACACCACAGTCCGCAAATTGATGCATGAAAAAGGGGGAGTTAAGAGTTGGTAAATTCGAAAGATGATGCAGAGTTTCTGCCTTACAGTTTCCATCAATAGGAGACGAGGTGGTGAAGTGACTATTGAGTTGATTGATATCAAGTTTAGGAGAATTACAGCTACGTGTTTTACCAACCCCAAGTGACCGCAGAAACTTCCAAACTTTTCCCGGGTCATCGTTTTCAACAGATTTGTGAATATGGCGTCTCTGGGCGTCCCTTATCACAGTGTTACACCTATTTCTAGCGCGATTGTATTTCATCTCGTTTCGCTTCGAAGGATCGTGTTTAAATTTAGTTTTGGCCCTATTTCTCACTGCCATCAAACCCCGAATATCCTCCGTTAACCAGGGAGCAGGAAGGTGTTTAATTTTGATAGGACGTATTGGAGCATGCTTGTCGTAGAGTTCAATGATTAATTTGTTAAAATGCTCAACTTGTTCATCAACATCATTAGACGTAAAGATAGCCGACCAGTCTTTGTCGGCAGCATCTTCAATTAGCTGGTCTTGGTTAATGCTTGCGAAACTACGCTGAAGTCTGACAGTTGGTTTTAGTTTCGGAGGTCGAACCCGGTAAGAAACATATACCAAGTCGTGATAGGAAAAAGCGTCTGCAGAATATTGCCCGTGCTTAACAGCTAATGAAGGAGATGAGACGATTACTAAGTCAAGTAAAGAGGGAGAACAATTGGGGAAATGATGAGTTTCTTTTAAAGGAAGGATATGCAAATTTGAGGAGTTTACAATTGAATATAATTTCTTAGAACGCAGGTCATCTTTAATAAGGCATGTATTGAAGTCACCCATAATTATAGTGTGACTGTAAGAAGGCACAAAATGTTCAAGGAGTAATTCGAATGACTCGAAGTAATCAATACGAAGTGAGGGACTATAAAATTTAATTGATAAATAATTTTTTTATACACAATTTTATAATATTTTCTTTTGAAAAGAGGGAATCTTTATATTTATATTCACCTTGCATTAACAAATTTGAAAATGGCGCCAAAAAATAGGATTAACAGTATACTGGACTGCGTTCCGTTTTAAAAAGTCACCAGTATAACTAGCTATATAGGAACGGGCTTCCAGTATACTAAATTGACGTCATACTGTTCAGTGGTCGTAGTGTATATCGGAACATACCCATAAGCTTTTCATTTATTTTATAACACTTCGGAGAAAATTAAAACATCGCATGTGTCATTATTAGTGTAAAAGTCAATAACGATGTTGACGATTTCTTATATGTCCATCAGGTAAACTATTAAAGAACAATAAACAAGTATTTTTATACATTTTTCGTTATTAACATTGAATTGAAATATGGCATGGCATCACGCTTTTGTACATTTTCTACATAGTGGTGACGTAGTGTGCCCCCATGTATTCATAATTCTGAAATGTTCAAATTAAAAGCTGCTGGTTTATTTGACAAGATATACACGCAAACAATGACTTATATCAAAAGAAAACAGAATATAAAACATAAATAATATCAAAAAGTTTGTGCTTCATCACAACCCCATTCCACAACTTTAATGCTTACTATCTACGCCATGTTCAAATTAAAGCAAAAAAAGTACGTATCTAATATATATATATCCTATTATCTGACTGAAGGACTAAATAGAATTTCTTTTTTTACCAAATTGTCATCCCTGTTGTAAGTATCTAAACAAGAGTATGTACAATATATCTAACCTCCATTGGAGACCTTGGCGATGGCAGCGAGCAGGAAGTCTTTATCTTTGGCCTGCAGCAGCAACATCTGCCGCAGCATCCGCACCATGCATTGCTGGGCTCGAGCGCGGGCACGCATGTAGTACACCGATACACTACAGTGCAATTATACAGGGTTATTTATCAAAGATACTGGTAGCCAGTTACCAGTGGAATGCTCGATCGTGCAAAGTAAATGCCTCAAGCGCTACCAATATTTTTTTAAACCCAGAAAAAAAAATTGCAGCCATATTAAAGTTATGACTATGTGTTATATATCGTTTTATAGGTTATTAACAAGAGAAATTTTATAAATATAACACCCGCAACACAGATAAGTATTGCGGGAGGTAACGCGCCCTGTATTATTTTTATAACTCGGTAAATTTCACGCAGAGTATAATAAAACTTGGAACAATAACAATTCCAGAGCCAAAGGAACGAGTCATAAACAAAATTCATTCGGGACCGAACTTCAAATCGATAATTATAAAGAAAAGTGAATGCTTTAGAACACTAGGCGCTCCACGGGTTAAGTAATAAATAGCTATAGATAGATAGCTTGTTGAAGTCATTTGTGCGCGGGGCGCTATGATTCCGTTAGCTTGTAATGATAAGACTTTCATTTGTGTGAGAGTGACGCTTCAGTCGTCCTTCAGAATCCATATTATCTAGCAGGTGACCATAACCTTAGTTTAAAACAAAATAATCTAATTAACAACAGTAATATTCGCACAGTTATTCTTTTTTATTTTCAATTTGTTGAAATTACCATATCTGTACTTGACTACCTCTTCTCACGCACACAAAGTCACTGTATATGTACAAGGATTACCCACACATACCGCCGCGCGCACAAGTGATTTGATCTTACTATAACATTATAAAGAAAACTACCTGAAAACTCGTCGATTTGGTGTTTATATAATAATTTAAAAAATAAGACGTCAGTAGGGGCTCCAAATGAAGCGGTAATATTTTCTGCTTACACACGTTTGGGGCCCCTGTGGCCCCGTATCATTGTTTTAAATGAATATAAATAAATAATCAATTAAAATCTGAGAAATAATACAGAAGTCTGCAAGAAATAGTTTCGGACATACGGTTCTGTGTTTAGAACTGCTGCTACTCAGCTGAAAATGCTCCCTACAAATTAATTTATTTTCTTAACATTTAACATTTAAAATATTTTTCGATCATGAAACAGAAACTTGTATTTTCACTTACAGGCGACATCTTTATTAACCCTGTATATAACTTGTGGACAAAATTATTATAAGTATCTTATAGAAACAAGAAAAAATGTTTCCCCGCTACATAACCAATATATCTATTAATATTTAATTGAAAATCTTCTGATATATTTACTAGATTACGCGATTCAAATCAGGGTCATGTATAATATCAAAGTGTTAATTTTCTTATATAATAAAAGTGTCTAATAATCTGTCGGATGGATAACCTAATAATTTTTAAACATCAGAATGTACTATAGTTATATAGCATTATACTGACCAGAGAGCTAACATCAGGGAGCCAACGACACCAGGCCGAGTAAGGAACGCGAGTGCTGCTTTGAGCGTGGGCCGAGACGGCAACTGCAACACTCCCTCAGTCACCACGCCGTACACTTGCTCGTACGAACGGAACGGCCCGCACGACCGGGACGAAGATCTGAACAAAATTAATATACAAATAAATGAAATCAAGAATCAAAACTAAAATGCAGCTACATTTTGCTAAAAAAATAAGTTAGTATGAAAAGCCGGCCATGTGCTAGCCGCACACCGAGGGTTCTGTACAAACCTGTAGGTATTTATTATTAAAATTCGTGTAAAGAACATATTTATGAGTAAAGGCTATTATAAAGTTGATGATTATTTTAAGCATCGCAATGCATGGAATTAATAGCCTTCGCTTTGTTCTATAAAGACTAATTATATGTTCAACCTATGACCTACAGACTTTGAAAGTTGTATTTATTATTGTGATATTACATATTATTTTGGTAATGACATGATTTATGTAAATGTCATTACTTATGATAAAGAGCTGGTAAGTTTCTTTCGCTTGTTCTTCTTGTCAGCTAAAAGACGTCCTGAACGAGTGGTAGGGGAAAAAATTTTTAGTCGATTCAAAAGTGCTTGTAAATTGCCTACTTGAATAAAGATATTTTCATTTCATTAAAAATATTGTTATTATATGATGTATCTAAAAATTATACAAGTTTCGCAATTTTTCCTTTACCTGTGCTCTGTGACGTTGCTTCGTACCATTTCAAGATTCTAAGTTCACAGAAAATACCCTGTAGGTTTCGATTTCCTTGCGAGTTTAGAAAATTTACTGCATAAATGGCTGTATCTATTTATGGCGTTAACTTAAAAGTTTGATTTTTTTTCATAGCTCCAAGAATCAGTAGACCTAAGTATTCGATATAAATTTCAGCTTGTGGATGTACCACACGTTCCTGAGAGAAAGAGTCTTGACAGACGAACGGACAGACAACAAAGTGATCCTGTAAGAGTTTCGTTTTTTTCCTTTCGAGGTACGGAACCCAAAAAAATACATTCACTGGAACTTCTTCTATTGATCTTGTATTATGGGAGCCAAATAAGAATAGGACTGTCTAACAGCCTAGCCGTCTTGTTTCGCATTCCGCTTCAACTTCAGGGTGTAAGGTGTGCAAAAAACTGTCATTACACACTGTCATTTTAATTGAACACAAAGTCATAAAAAGGCGATGCATTAAAAATGGCCAGCGTCAACGCTGCCACAATAATCGTCAACTACATATTTAGTAATAGAGAAAAAGATCAAGAGATCAATTCATAAATCATGTTTTATTGACAAAGTCGATAAAGTCGTGTCAATACTATTAATAAATGCAACAGTTTAATATCAATATGTGTATAACGTAAAAATATATTTATCGCACTTAATTTTCTTTGCTGACGGTACCACAATGACAGCTGCGCTACGCTATGAAGTTGTTAGGTAACCCGTTCCTAATGTTATTTGGCTCGCATAGTATATAACATTACACGCATAAGGTGACATGAACATACCTGAGAAACAAAGAGCCAAGACCGAATAGTGCAGCGAACAGTGACAACGTCACCAACATGTAGAATACAGTCTGAGTCTGAGCAGCGCGCCACACCTACACACATACACACGTAATTGACACTTCACACATACATTTGTAGTCTACATCATCATCATCATCATCATCATCATCATCATCACCATCATCATCACCATCATCATCATCATCATCATCATTATTATCATCAGTCCTGTTACATCCCCACTGCAGAGGCTCGGGTCTTCCTTATGGATTGTTAAGGAGGATGGACCATAACCCTCCACGCTGGCCCAATGCGGATTGGATAGTATTAACGTCCAAATGCAACCGAGACCGGCGCCTTAACGTGCCTTCCGAGCGCGGAGTTACTCGGGGTACTTAATTTTTGGTCACCCATCCCGTGACCGACCCTTACGAAAGTTGCTTAACAACAACTACGCTACCGAGCTACTCTACTCTAGTGTAGCCTATGGTAGTAATGAAACGAGTACTATTTTAACGAAATCGAATATCTGTATCGTGTACAACTGTAGTGGATACAAATAATTCAACAGGATTATAAATATTAGAGATGAGACGGATATCCGTTAAGTATAGCCTAAACGTTAAATTCAAGTCTCGTTTTACACAAGACGAACCACAATAGATTATGGGCACCGATTATTTATTCAACGCATATAAAAAAATTGTTTTATTAATTAGTTCAGCACTCGAATTTTACAAGTGACAGATTGTGTTCAATGAAAACCAAATTTTTCGCATTTGTGTTTATTAAACTATATAATAATGTTTGCTCAATACGTCGAAATCAATTCTCATCTAAATTGAAATGTGACGTCACAGGTAGAAAGGTCACGTGATGTGATTTCGCGGGCATTTCAAACGAATAATTAGAATAATGTTTTTTCTTTCATACAATAAACACTTTTGAGGAAAATAAATCTGATAGCGAATACCATATGAACATTTAAAAGGCTTTTATCAAAGTAATCAATTGCTTTTACGCGATTGCAATGTAGCTCGGTGGCGTGATGGATAAGCGCCACTTGGTCAAGGTCGGTCACGGGATGGGTGACCAGAATAAAAAAAATATCTCGAGCTACTCCGTGCTTCGGAAGGCACGTTAAGCCGTTGGTCCCGGCGGCATTTGCAGTCGTTAAAACCCTCCAATCCGTATTGGGTCAACGTGGAGTGTCATGGCCCATCCTCCTTAACCATCCATAAGGAAGACCTGAGCCCCTGCAGTCGGGACGTAAAAGGGCTGGTGATGATGATAATGATAATTGCAACGCAAATAACTATATAAACAAATTAGAAGAATTATTTTTAAATTGTATCTACGGTAGTTAAGTTCGAAATTGATTTAAAACATCCATAAAATATGACATTCCTCGTACAAACCTTTCTCGCCGGCTGACAAGCTCTCCTGGCGCACTCGCGTTTCACATAAAACAGCATCAGAAATTTGAGCGTTACTGCCACTACCAATAAGGGCGAGAATATCATGCCGAACCATAACACGGTTTGGTTATATATGATAGTCAACGAGTTGTAGGCCACGTTGAATTCTGGCGGCGAACATTTTGGATTTAATCTGAAAAATTAGAAATGTATATTTTTTTTTGTTTAAATATTTTTTGGTTGTATTGGTGAAACATTGATGATTTATATATGAAAGTAGTTTTTTTTTTAATATAATTATTACTTGTAGCTTTTTACACTTTAGACTAAATTTTTCACCAAAAGACGCTTCATATATTACCAGTATGACCATTATTATGACATCACAATTTAAGTTACTTTTATCCTTGTTTAATCAAAACTTTTCACAAACTATAATTATTATTTAGATGATTTATCATTTAAATAATTATTGTAGATTATGTTGATATTATTACTAATTAAAGAAAATAAAAATATTGTTTTTTTTTTTGCAAATTCTAAGGATTTGAATATTTATATTAGGTCAAAAAAAACTTGTAAAAAAATTTAGAAGATATTTAAATATTGTATACTCATTTCGTTCGGAAATCGATGGAAAATGTACTAAAACTTAATTTAAAAAATAATAGAATTAAAATGGAAGCGCAACAAAAACATAAAGAAAAATAAAATAAACAAAAACTCACTTATAAAGCAAAGCCCTACAGAACTCTATCAGAGGCAGGAGGAACAGCGATATGAGAGTGTCCAGTAACACCAAGCGGTAAGTCTCCTGGCCGAGCGCCGTCTCCCAACACTGTTGTACGAAACTCGACTTTATTCCGATGGCATAAGGCATTTCGAACGTATGGAACGTGTCACTTCAATAATGTGTCGGAATAAGTGATCAACGCATCGATTTTCTATTTTTATGTGTTACTTAGTTTAACTAATAATATTTTGCTTATTATCTATAACTAATTTAAAGAAAGCAAATTGAAATTACAGAAAAAAAATAAACAGGAGTACAGATTCACAGCTCGAACTCTTAAAATAACATTTGGTATATCGTGGCATGTTTCGTCTTTTATCTTACTCTAACTTACGTATTTCAAATGAGATCATAATCGAAAATTGAGAACCTGATTGAAAAATAAATTGAATAAAATTACATTTATAAAAATCGGTTCTTTTTTACTAGCTTTTCATAGACGGGGTGTCACACCCTATCTATAAAAACCGCATCAAAATCCGTTGCGTAGTTTTAAATATTTAAGCATACTTAGGGATATACGGACAGAGAATGCGACTTTGTTTTATACTACGTAGTGAAGAGACATTCATAGTAAAATAAACGAATGCGTAAACATAAAATCTATTTAAAACATGTAGCAATAACCGTTGGCACTCACCGGCAAATCGGAATGCGACCAGTAGACGAGCAGCAGCAGCAGCGTGCCGATGTCCAGCAGCCAGGTCCGCGCCAGGGTCACGTATAGCGCCGTGCGGGGCGCGTAGTACTCCAATCTATTGGCCGATCAGTTATCGGAATACTGTTATTTTAAAAGGTCAATTTCCTAAGTTTTTTTAAAGATTGTTTATTTACACCATAAAATGTAAAATGATTGTATATTCCATTATCATAATAAATATATTTGAAATTCAATTCGGCATTGACAACCGCAGTCCTCTTTAGCTTGGGATCTAGGAATTAAGAGTGTTGTGTCTATCCTAATAAACAGCAGGAATTTTAATTGTTGTTTTCTTTTAAACACAGAGACAACTCACCCCGAGCCTCGCGACAGTTCGTTAAATTGTCCTTCGCAGCTGATTTGAGCCGAAATTACTGGATCGATCCCGTCTTATTATAAAACGAGGAGTAAAGTTAGTAAGTATTTGGTTGAAGCCATTGGCTACTTAAAGCAAATCGACAAACTGAGACGTGTCGACTTATATAGGTCGGTTAATGATTTAATCTGATACTAAAGTTAGATACATAAATGTAATTTAAAAGTTTTGGAGTCAAATTAGAAAATAGGAACAGATGTTTTTTATATCAGCATTTTTATTTTTGACAGAATATCATAATAAGTCAGATTACTTAATTAGCTGGTTTTCAGTATTAAATGAAGTTTGGTTACTGCAACTTTGAAAACTCTTATCCCGGATATCATATCCATATTAATATATGCGTTTGAGATCACCGAACCGTAATATCTCATTACTTAATTGACTAATATAATAATGATATAATGGATCTCATTCATTGCGTTGCTTTTAATTACAATTCAATAATATCAGTCTTTTAAGTAACTTGGTTAATTACTATCTTATACTGTCTGAATAAAAGTCGATAATCACGAACTGTCATTTCTTAGAAACATCACACTAAGTACGCACTCATAGATATGACACAAACTTATCAAGTAATAGATAAGTTACAGGCTATTAAATTGTACTAACTATTTTTTAATAAAGTGTCATCTATATTTCGTATTAAGTACTAAAAACCACAGATAACGTACACAATCATCGATGTTGCCAACAAAAAAACACGTATCCTCCACACTGCCACTAGTGGTCCCTTTAGTAACCAGGAAGTCAAAAAATATTTTGAGTGGATATTGAGACAAAAACTGGAGTCTTACCTGACTATAATCCCGAATATGATGGGTAAAACAGCGAGAACCGCGCACAGAACCAACGATATCACCAACTCCCATCTGGGCAGGCTGGGTTCAGTGGCCAGCAGCTGCCACAGGCCGTATTCCAGAGCGGCTATGGTCCCTAACACCAGTACAGTAACGGCGATATTCGTGAAGCAACGCACCATACGAGTCCAGAAATACGTAGACTGATTATTTTTGTTCCGTTCGTTGAGAAGTTCCTGTGTAATAGAAAGAAGTCTCAGATATTTTAAGAGACAAGTAATATAGCGCATAAGGCTGAATTTTGCCGACCAATTGCCAACCAAAATAATGAAGAAGTATTTAAAAAAGTTTCCGAAATCAAACTAGATGTCGCTACGGTACATTCTTGATTTCTCCATGAAAACCGGTAGGGTTGTACCGGTTTTCTTTCATGTATAAAAGTAAATTAATTTTCAAAACTCAATAATCAACTCATATTCTATTTGTACCTTTTCGTACTTGCATTGATATCAAAGTTTCGAAGTTTGCTAATTTCAGTTTTTTAATATGTTAGTTAAAAGGAAAATTCATATCTTTGGTCAATTCATTTTTGGTAGAGTCGCCATCTTTTAGTGTTTTCATTCAATGTGCGCGCTCAAGCAGAGTGGGAGTGAGATGGAAATTCAATACATTATATTTTACACCATATCGTTTTTAAATAAGCGCCTACTAATATTAATTTAAGTACGTATAAAGTACGTTATATGAGTACGTTTGGACGATTCAAAAGTGCTTGTAAGAAGCTTAGTTGAATAAAGACATTTTTATTTAATTTCATCATCATCAGCCCTTTTACGTCCCCACTGCAGGGGCTCAGGCCTTCCTTATGGATGAACGCTGGCCCAATGCGGATTGAAGGGTATTAACGACTGCAAATGCAGCCGGGACCAACGGCTTAACGTGCCTTCCGAAGCACGGAGCAGCTAGAGATAATAATTATTTGGTCACCCATCCCGTGACCGACCCTTGCGAAAGTTGCTTAACGACAACGATCGGGGGCCGCGGCGCTTATCCACTACGCCACCGAGCTACTCTCATGTCATTTCATTTAATTTCAATAAAATAAATACTTATAAATACGAAAGTTTGTGGGAATGGATTACATTTGTTACACTTTCACGCAAAAAACTACTAAACGGATTTTGACGAAATTTGATAAATCTAAACCTGAAATTATATATAGCACACTTATTATAGATATATCAATTGTGAATTAATGCTATTCTTGAAAATATTCTTAATGAAAAATGCTTAAGAATCCACTACACCAGTTGACCCGAGATGGGTATCTGAACAAATTTCCATATTAATCGAAAGTTTAAAATATATGTATAAATATTTCTTTCGGTTGTTTAAGTGATTGCCTCAACATTGATGAGAATAAAAATCAAATTAAAATTATTCATTCAGTCTAAGCTGTTACAAGCACTTGTGGAAGTCGAAACCCTACGTCATCGAATGGTAAATCTACGGCGTGAGACATTATACCGAGAAAAAGTGGTACAAAAGTAGCGAAAAGCAATAAGAGCTTGAAAAATCCTTAGTCCTATCGGAACTCAGGTAACTCAGTGGTTAGAGCAGCCACCTGGGTTGTGAAAGAACGCGGGTTCGAGTCCAATCTAGAGCCACCTAGGACCACTAAAGCTGATGCTAGTCGATTATAAATCTTAATCATATTCTCATCAATTAGCGACGCGCAAAATTTTCTGAAGTTTATTTATACAGCACAGATTTCTAAACTTTGAATCCGCGGATTTTTGAACGAAAACAACCGGTATTGAGCGGCGATAAGGTTGATATTGCTACGAATACCTTGAACTCGTTGTAAATACTACGTGCGTTCAGCGCTGCCGCTTGGGCGGTGACGATATTGAAGTCCCATCCGCAGAACACTTTGTTGGCGAACAGATGACTCAGACCATCGGAAGTCTCTATGAAGTTGCGCCGATACGAATCAGCTGTTCTATATAAATAACAGAAACATTCAATCGTGTCAATTTCATGTACAACCAGGGTGGGATCGGGGGGGGGGGGGGGGTTACTACCAGGGGAACACCAAAATCATAATAACTTAATGCAATAAGTCGGATCGGGAGGGAGCCCCTCTCCCAAGGGGGCGCAAGTCAATCATAGTAACTTAATGCAATAAAAAAAAATAACAAGCTTCACAAAATGTCTTTTTAAAATAAATTCATAGACAAATATAGAACAGACATCTTTTCAAAGTTCCTAAATTAAATTACACATTGTAACAAAAAAAAAAACACACGTTCGGGGGTGTAAGTCCGAACCTGTCAGGTTATATAAAACTAGTGGCCGCCAGCGACTTCGTCCGCGTTTTATATTCTTGTCTCCTAATAGTTGCACCGTGATGTTATATAGCCTAAGGCCTTCCGCGACAAATGATCTATTCAACACAAAAATATTCTTTCAATTCGAACCAGTAGTTCCTGAGATTAGCGCGTTCAAACAAACAAACTCTTCAGCTTTATAATATTAGTATAGCTTGACAAATTTCCCCGCTCGATTTCAAACCTTAATACGTTAAGGTTAAAGGTCAAAGTCTACTGCAGGAATTTGAGATATTGTGATAACTTGTAACATGCAGCCGTGTTCTACATACAATAAGAATATTAATGTAACCACTATTGGAAGTGATAAAACCAGAGGCTTAATATATTAACTGTCAGATGGACTGTAGACTGGATTTTAAAAGCGGGCAGGTAGCAGAGTAAAACACTTAGTTCGGAGAAACTCGGAGAACGTTCGAAGGCAGAACATGCTTTATTGCGAAAAATCGATTACTTAAGTACAATTTGGTTGCTCGCACTTATCTCATATATAAATCAGTTATCTTATAAGATTTCTTAGAGTGGGGGTACGCTACCCCGCACCGCGCGAGGAGGGGAAGGTTTCGCTGTTTCCCCGCTGGTGGCGCTGTTGTCGCGACGTGGCTCGATGTCCTTTACAATTAACTATCAATTTATTACATAATAAGAGCATGGCAATGCCAACCAGGATACAGAAGATGTTTATTGAATTAAAAAAAGGGATTTGCTTTTAGTAAAGACTAATAAGCAATATAACATAATAATACATCTAGAGAAAGTCAAATTTCTGCAATGAAAAGTATTACGTCTTTTTTAAAGAAATTTAATCTTATGTAGTAACATGACTTTCTGTCGTCTGTACAAACATTTTATAGTTACAGTATTTCATCTTTTTCACTCCCACTAAGGAGACAAAGTTATTTAAAGTAAAAAATCATAGCCAATGAGTTATTAAGATAAGAAAGATGTCCCGACATTACACATCTCTTTCAATCGTACGCAAACATATTGCTATTGCGCTCGCACAGATACATCTACATTTTGTCATAGTACAGTTAACCTCGGAAAAGCTCGATCTGTGATACTTTTTCAATCACCGGTCATAGGATGGGTGACCGAAAATTTATAACCTCGAGCTCCTCCGTGCTTCGGAAGGCACCTTAAGCTGTTGGTCCCATCTGAATCTGATGCTGCAGTCGTTTACACCCAAAAATCCGTACTGGTCCCACGTAGTGGGTCATGGCCCGTTCTCCCTATTCGACTTGATTCGATTCTGAATCTAAAACATCTACGATATCTGTCAGTAGGCACAAAGGTCAACGTACAGTCGACCAAGAATGTAATCTACCGGTTTTGGGAAAAAATATATATGTCTAATTACCGCTAAGGTGGACCTTTCTAAAGTTTAAAAATTCAAATAAAACATGTTGTAAAACTGTTATCTGAGAGACCAGGCATTCAAAGTGATGGGCACTGTCAAAATATTACTAGAAGGGAAAATTGATATTAAACTTTAAGCGTAGGGTGGTAGACCATATGTATTATTAGTTGACTGTACAAAATTGATATTAAACTTTAAGCGTAGGGTGGTAGACCATATGTATTATTAGTTGACTGTACAAAATTGATATTAAACTTTAAGCGTAGGGTGGTAGACCATATGTATTATTAGTTGACTGTACAAAATTGATTTTAAACTTTAAGCGTAGGGTGGTAGACCATATGTATTATTAGTTGACTGTACAAAATTCTTTATGATCAGGACTATAGCAACTGTTTGCTTGTACCTGTAGCACAGCACACCGAAGAACATCAGGTAGAGGCACATCATCGTGAAGAAGTAAGCAAAGGACATGTAGTATGGAGGACCAGATCCAGACACGTCACCAGACTCGTAGTGACCGTAGAATAATATGGAGTCTTCGAATGCACCCTGACAAATAAAAATATAATATGGGTTGATTAGTAGGAGCTCGATGGCCCGCGATCGTTGTCGTTGAGCTACTTTCACAAGGGTCGGTCACGGGATGGGTGACCATATCGCGAACAACTCATTACTTGAAAAGTTAGTCCCGTCTGCATTAGTAGGACGATTGTAGGGGTTCGATCCCCACACTCGTATGCTTGCTTGCTAAGGGGTGAATTTACTTCTAAAAGAAGTGCTAAATAAAACCAACCCGTTTGAATGCTGTAAAAACACTGATTTATTTTAAAATTAATTGTCCAACAAAAATAAAAAGTGCAGCGTTGCAATTGTAGGTATGTAGGTTATCGTGTAATTTATTATATTAATATTAATTATTTCTAAGTAGGTACATTGGCTCGTACAACGATGATACTGCATTTGACCAGTGTGGAGGGTCATTGCCCGTCTTCCTTAACCATCCATAAGAAATGCCTGAACCCCTGCAGTGGGGACATAAGAGGACTAATGATGATGATGGGTTGGATGCATTGTATGTAATGAATATATGTAAGTAAAGATTCTAGATTACGATAATTGTGTCATTTTCTAATTGTTCATTGATATTGTGAGTATTTGTGATGTTATTAGTGAGTTTGTGACAAAGATTTTACTCAAAAATTGTTTCAATATAAGGTTCTCCAACTGACAGTGTACATCTACATAGAAAATAAATTATTTTTAACCTAACACTACGAACACATTGGGCGTTTTGAAAACCATCTAGTTTTAACAACCGTACAAGCCGGTTCCGTATCCAAATGGTAAAACGGGACCTTATTACTAAGTCCGCTGTCCATCCGTCTATCAAGTTTATCTATCACCAGGCTGTATCTGATAAACTGTAATAATTGATATATTACTGTTTCCACCGCAATAATAAAAAAAAAGCACCCAGTTTCTGAATTGAGAATTTAAAGTTAAGCACGTCTCAAACCGTACTAAAACCATCTTTAACGTCACTTAAACAGTTTCTCCTTTCTGATTCTTTTTTTTTTAAACAATCAGTTTATAGCATTTTGATTAAACTAGGATTTTTTGCCGTGTGAAACGTAAAAAAACTCGAGTTATTGAGAATAATCAAAGCAAAACACACACATAGACTAGATTAGGATTCGTGTAATAAACTTATCATTACCTTACCAGCGATGATGTCCACAAAACCTCTATCAAGCGTGGTATTCCTATCCGAGGTGTACATCGCTTGTGGCACCACAACGAACGCAACTAGCAGCACGCAGAGTATCAGGTCCAGAGCGAACAACCAGCGGAGGAAGTAGAAGTAGGATCCCACCGCGGATCCGAAGTGACCCTCTATATTGCGGATCGCTTTGTACCACAGCTCGATCGAGAAGGTGAAGTCACGGAACCTATCCTGCAACTGTAACACAAAACGGATATTAATATATATAGATATTAATTTTTGTTTGTCTATCCGTATCGGTTAGATTATTGAACAAAATTAAATACGTATTTTTTATTTATTTTTTTCTTAATCAATAAATTACAGTTGACATACCGCATGACATCACACCTTTGTATATTTTCTACATAGTGGTGACGTAGCTAGCCCCACTCCTAAACTTTAATGTCTTTTACTTGAGCCATTACTTGTTAAATTGAAGCAAAAATAAATAGGAATCTAATATTTTTCTATTATCATTTAAATAAGACTAAGTAAGACTTAACATTTAGACTAAGGAACTCAATAGAATTTCGTTTTTCTTGGCCAATCATCATTTATATTGACGGAAATTTTAAACAGAGCTTCGTAAATCACAAAATCACTTGATTAATTTACTGAGACATGACCATTTAAAATTATTTACTTGAATAACAAATAAAAAAAATTGATCACCCATCCTCCCACCGGCCCTCGAATAAGTAGCTTAACTTTCGCATCGTCAACCAAACGAGCTAACCACTCGCCATCGAGCTCATGCAAACATGCCTATTGGTGTCAAAGTAATCCAGTAAACCACAATTATTTTTAACACGTCACTTACTTTTCACGTCACTTTACATGTGTAGCACGGCGGCGTAGTTAATAAGCGCCGCGGCCCGCGATCGTTGTTGTTAAGCAACTTTCGCAAGGGTCGGTCACGGGATGGGTAACCAAAAATTATTATCTCGAGCTACGCCGTCTTCAGAAGGCACGTTAACCCACCGGTCGCGGCTGCATTTGCAGTCGTTAATACCCTCCAAATCCGCATTGGGCCAGCGTGGAAGGTCGTGGCCCATTCCCCTTAACCATCCATAAGGAAGGCCTGAACCCCTGCAATAGAGACGTAAAAGGGCTAATGATGACTTACTCTTTTGAAGGCGAAACTAATCCTATACTTCAATCTCTTGAAACAGGAGATGGGCCGCTGCCGGGAGCGTAGACTGACTGACGCGGACAGTTTAGCCCTGACGTTCCTCTTCATCGTCAGACCTTGGGGCAGGTCCCGGAGTGCCTCTCTAAAATAAAAGATCACAATAATATTACTGAGTAGTTAGAAAAAGATGGTAATGGCAAATAGGGGAGACTGTAAATAGCGCATTGTTAAACCGCTATGGATGCTCCATATACTAGTGGTGGTTGCAGAGCTCTGGTAGTCCCTGGAAGTCTCCCATGTGGTATGCGGATCTTCATAAAATTATTACTACATATAAATAATCAACTAATTTAATAAAATTATATCCATCCATCTATCTTTTTTGGGTTCCGTAGTAAACAAGGAACCCTTATAGTTTCGCCATATCCGTCTGTCCATTCGTCCGCGGTTTAGCTTAAAAACAATTAGTACTAGAAAATTGTAAATTGCCATGAGTATACACGTTAATTACGCCGAAGAAGTGATAAAGTAGAATTAAAAAAAAAGACTGGTATTATGGTTACCTCCCATAATACATGTTAAGTGGGGCTGATATTTTTTTTTCGTCTTCCCCAAAGTGTGGGCCATCGTTGGATAAGTCTTTTAAAAACATTTGGCAAGGTCGTTTCTCGATTGAGTAAACTGTTTGTGACTTAATAAGCTTTAAAGTGCTAATTTTCGTTACATTCAAGTGTGGGGGACACTTGAATGTAACGAACCCCCCTACCCTCTACCAACTAAACGGTCGTTGGTAAAAACTCGCATTAGTATCGATATATTAAGTTTAAATTAAAACTGTCACTCTTAAGTCAGCTTTACAAAATTTCGAACAACTCGATAGAAAACAACAAACGTGATTTTTTTTAATGGATAATGGGGCAAGTCCGAATTTTATACATAAAACTTATAATAATACGTAGATTTATATATAGCATTTTAATCCCTGGTACTGATTCGTAAAAACCCCATTTAAACATTGCGGTCAGTTTTCAGACGCACTGAGTCCGGCTACTGACCCCGTGTAAATCAGCCTTTACCTCCGTAGCTCCTCAGCCTCGGGGTTGTTCTCCATAAGCCGTTGGTGCTGTTCCATCTCGCGTACTATCAGCTCGGCGCGTTTGTCAGCGTCGACTTCATCCGGCGCAGCAACAGCGTCTTCCAGGAGGGCATTGTGCTCGGAATTCGTGCGGCGCAACCGAAGGGTATCTACAAAGACAACATTAATGAAAACACACCGTTTCTTCTTTACAAGGGTAAATGTACGGGTTATATCCAATGACCCAATGATGCAGGGCAGTCGTCAAGTTATGGCCTTTACACACGATGGTCGAGGTTATATAGCTACAATACGTTGTTAAACTTTCTGTGTGTAAAACACAGTATTTAATGCAGTGTACAACACAATACCGTCAAACGATTAGAGATGCAATCAAATAAACTTTATAACATTTAGAAGTAGGGTTCAATTTGAAGGAACCTCTATTGCAGCGACAGCTTTTTCTGTATTTTTAAAAGCCTTCATGCTATTTTTTTACCATGAAAAATTATACTATAATAAAAAGTAAGAAAGAAGTTCGTTAGAGCGCGTTCCACGTTTCATGTGAGATTGTATCTACAACAAACATTAATACTGCGCGCAGATGATGGGCTCATAAAAAGTGCATGTTGTCACAGTTAAAAGCTTCGTGTGCAAAGGCCCTTACGCCAAACTATTGTGGAAATCAAAGTATCACGATAAAGGTACTTATAAAAATGTACATTTACCCAAGATCACAACACACCATTTAACAACTGCCGTAATTCGATAGTTTCCATTAGGACACCACTAACAAAACAATAAAGTTATTAATTATTATTCTAAAATAAATACAATTTATTTCTCCTACAACCACTATGTTGATATCTCAAAGGGTAATATCAGACTGGTTTCTGATTCATACCAAACTACATAATTAGTACTGAACGGTAATAACTTAATTAGAGGTTGTTAAGCCAGTTGTAGTAATACCTCCTGCCTTGGATGGTGCATTTACTCTTATTGAGTCAATAATTTAAATATTGTTTAATTTTCAGTAAGTTCAGTTATTTTTAAAAAGGTTGAATTTCTGTTTAATTGGAATTATAATCACAAAAAGATAAAAAAAAAAAAGTTAATCAGAAATAACTATCTTGATAAAATATACCTTGATAATTATAAAACACAACACAAACTCTTTTTGTACTTAGGAACTTGTTATTAAAAGATAATCATCTTTTAACAACTATCAAATGTGGTTTTTTTGATAGACAATATCATCTAGATGGAACTACATAAACAAAGTTAATATAAAAACTCCATTTTTATTAAAAAAACTATTTGTTTAATGTAATTTCACATTGCTGCAATGACACAATGGCTAATATTATCATACTTAGTTTTTAAGGACAATTAACATTTTTAAAATACCTTAATAACAATAAATAACCTTTAAAATAAAATTCTGAATGCATAATAATCTTGACAGTTGCAAACTCTGGAAGTTATTATCCTATATTCTATAGGATTAGACTATCTAAAGAACCAGTGTTGTTACTGTGTTTCGAAATTAAAATGATGATGAAGTGTTGATTCTTAAATGAATTATATATTCTTTTTAATAAAAATTTTGATAATAAAATCACAAGACCTATAATGTCGCTTATAATAGGCTTGTGTCCAACAAGTGAAAATACAGGTTTTTGTTATATCTTCGAAAAATATGAACCATTTCAACTTATAAATGTTTAACAAAACAAATTTTAAGTCAATGATTTGGAAAATATTACGCTTTGGAAACTTGAAAAAGTACAGAAAATCTACTACAAAAATCTGCTAAAATACATAAGGCTTTAAATTAGATATAAAAAATGTTACAACTTTCATTATAACAGCTATAAACATAAACGCACAAATAACAAAGATATTACAAAAAATGTCCAGACGCCCATACATTTTTCGCTACTGTAGCACCATGTGACGTCACTGAGTGCTTTGAATTTGTAGGGAGCGTTTTCGGCTTTCGGCAGTTCTACAAACACAGCACCGTATCTCCGAAACTATTTATCGCAGACATGCTGTTACTTCGACATTATTTCTCAGATGTTAATGGACTATTTATTTATGAAATAAAAAAAAGTTGTCAACTAGCCTATTTGTGATGTCATAACTCACTGTTACCTTCAGTGTTACCAGAACAATCTGACCAAATTTTGTATCTAAAATTGTATACAAATTACTGGAGAAAGCTGGACCTATGCATCTGTACCAATTTAAAGTTTGCAAAATGCAATGTTTATGGTTAATATAAGGTTTGTACATCTTGTACTCACTAAATGACAGTTGTCGAGATGGCATGAAATTGACAGCAACTTGTCGTGCCGCACTATGGCGAAGTGTGAATGTGCGGCGCACACTCGGTGGCCGCTCTATCTCTTCCAATTCATTTTCCATTATAGTTATTAACTGTAAAATAATAAGTGGGGGATTGTATATGCTAATAAAGATTTATTGAACACAAGCTTTTATACATACAAACCTTCCTCTTGAATCACTCTTTATATTGATAAAAACCACATTGAATCTGTTGTGTAATTCATAAGATCTCAGCATACAAGGAGTGGGAAGCAACTTCGTTATATACTATAACATTTAATATGTAATTTTTATTCTAATTTAGCTTAATAATTATCCTTTCAATTATTAGTTGTACATATTTATTTATTTAATTTTTAAAACAGTGTAGCAACGACGGACGTATTTATAGATTCATTGTATCTGGTAAGATGAGTCATTATATTGTAACATTTGTATGTTATGTGTCATATTCAATGGCTCAACTGCACATTGCAACAAATAATGCCAATATTTGTACATAGCTGCCATTATAGATCTTTATTTCTTCATATTCTTTTTAATAATTGCTGTTGCCCTTGTGGGTTTAGCCAGAATCCAGTGTTTCGCTCAGTTTATTTTATAATTTATAGACTCTACTTTTTGTATGTTGTGTAGTGAAAGCCTAAATAAATTTTGAATAACATTTTTATATATGTACAGTCAACAGCATGTCGGGTTATGCAACCTGTCAAATTTCTCCACTTGATTTTAAACCTTAACACATTGTACTTAAGAGTACAAAATACAGCCATTTAGAGTACAGCCTTAATTTTATTAAAATATTTTTTTAACTTTCTATTAGATTCTATCGATTTAACGAAACTTAAACAACAAACTCTTTTAAGACATGCATTACAAATGTAATTAATCATCAGCCCTTCTATGTCCCCACTGCAGGAGCTCAGGCCTTCCTTATGGATTGTTAAGGAAGATGGGCCATGACCCTCCAGGTTGGCCCAGTGGGGGTTGGAAGGTATTAACGACGGCAAATGCAGCAGGGACCAACGGCTTAACGTGCCTTCCGAAGCACGAAGTAACTAGAGATAATAATTTTTTGGTCACCCATCCCGTGACCGACCCTTGCGAAAGTTGCTTAACGACAACAATCATGGGCCGCGGCGCTTTTCTACTACGCCATCGAGCAACTAAAACTAATTACAATCAAAATATTTTGGTAAAGATATATATATATATAGAAGTCTTATGTTCGTAAAGTTGCCCGTGAATAATGTTTATAACAAGCAAAGGGATATGATAACATAATTAAATGCAGTTCCAAAGTTAATGACGCTTTAATTAATGCAATTTGTGTTAGTTACAAAGCTGTTTTGAACTTTTCTACAGGTCGCTGTGATAGTGCTAGTATGAAATATACTTACCGAAAAAAAGTTAAAGAACAACAAAATCACTGTAGCTGAATTTTGATCAAGAATATTTTAATTGTGGAAGAGGCGTAATTCGACTCAGCAGACTTGAACATAATTTATTAAAAACAAAAAACGTTTCTATCACCTACGAATCACCATTTTTTTTTTAAATCGCTGACATATAAACATACAATTGACATTCGTGCATACACAACAGAATCAGTGTTGCCACCTCAATTTTAGAAATGGGGCAGTTGAAGAAACTAAAAAGGGCTAGATCGGGCTGTCAACGTGAAATCGAATATGGTGGACAGAGGGTGGACATGTCATTCCCTTGGGCTAGCTACATAGCCTACATATTAGTAATCTGTGGGCTAGATGGAGCCATGGAGCACAAATTACCAACAAAAAGCTTTTTATGAAGGACATGAGTGAAATTGTAATGCTTTTTTTTACAGATGGCACTTGTTGTCTGATAAGTAAGATAAATAATTTTTTATATATGTATTAATGGAATCTTGAGCTCGATAGATAACACTCCAGAGCTATCTGTATTTATTTTAGTAATAACAAAAAAAATAATATACAAATTAAAAGCTAAAAAAGACACATTTACTAATGATTTCAATTATGTATTTATTTTTAGTTTGAATAACATAATAACATTTTTAAAATTATTCTATATAAAAAGTTTACAAATAAAAAAAATAGGTTAAAAATAATAAAGATGTATTTTTAAATTAAAATTCAACAAATCTAACCGGTTTAACATCTTAAAGTAATCATTAGCCAAAACAAAACAAAATTAAAGAGATTTAAAATTTAAAACATAAGTATTTATGTTGTTATGAACAAAAAAGCATTAACAAAAAATACCAATCATCATCATCATCAGCCGGAAGACGTCCACTGCTGAACATAGGCCTCGCGGCGTAGAAATGCGGTGTATTTCCATATATATATTGAACAAATGGTATCAACGGATTATCTACAAACATCAATATCTATGACACAAATGTAAAAACGGCTAAATAGCCCTTTTCGGGCTAAATAATTAAACAACGACTTCACCTACAATAAAAAGTGCTAGATCTAGCCCCAAAAGGGCTAAGGTGGCAACACTGAACAGAATATTGACAGACAAACACCAACACACACTTTCCAGTATAATATTGCAATCTTTGACAAACACCTTAAAAAGCCGCCCACACAGTAGGCAATCTGAACTCGCACCAAGGTGACCTTATTGGTTAGCTATAATGGTGGTTAAATTAGCGTCACGTTATTTTACTAAAGCTAAACATATTTTATCTGCAGATTCTAAGAAATATATGTTTTAGATTATAATTTAAAACGCAAGTTATTTTTAATAGTGTCAAGTACCCTATTATTAATGCGCCTGGCCGTCTACTATGATTTTCACAAAAAGTAAACATAATTTCACTAATAATAAATATATTTAATGCCTCTAATTTCATGATTACTTTTGGTTATCTTTTAAAGTTATACCTTTCTCTTTGCTATCGCGTTATTACAAAGTAAATGTTATTGTTTTCTTTTTTTTATTTTCCATATACCTCAATATTTACATATAAATATATTATTTACTTAAAATTTATGCAATAAACTAACAAAGTAAATGTTATCAATTTATTATAACAATATTTTAGAGATTATTCAAATATATCTCAATAATTAATTAATAATTTATCTTTTATTATTATATAGATAAGGTTCCATCGCATTAGTAATTTATGGGACTTATAGCGATTCCACGAAAACTATCAGTCTAATGACCATGAAAGTTTAAAACAATAAACGGATATATAGTTTGAGTTTTCAATACGATATGTTAATGTAAGTAAGTCATATCGGTTTTCAGATACGTTTTGATTTAGAGATCATGCTTTACTCTATAGTTTGCATTCTCTTTGAAGGATACTTTACTTTTTGGTTTTCTTGTTTTATATTGTATGCACGGCCCGTCAACTCCATACAATAAACCAATCGCGTAGGGGTCCAGTGATGTATGACATTTCCTCACGCCCCTCACCCCTGTCAGTAGATGGAGACATGACACCTGACAGAAACTGTCATTACAACAAAGAGTAAAGATAGTAATGTTTTAATCAATCTTTAATTCATTTTACATGTTGGAATTAATTTATTCATTTCACATTGGCAAAATTGTGTGAAATGTGCAGATATGCCATTAATAAAAGAAGAAGAAGACTAAAGTATGTACGTACATATCAGGAAATTACAAGTGATTGAGTAAAGTCTATTTTGTGCTTACCGTCTTCGCTTTATTTGTAATATAAACTCTCCATTTTTCGAAGTATTTTTATTTGTAGAAGATGCCTAAGAAATTGGTGTGTTATGGTTGTGTTACACGCATTGTTAAAGTACGAACAGGACGCTATTCTTTATAAGATTCTAGTGAACGAGAAAAGATTCTCCAAGTGTTTACAATGTCTTAGTGCTGTGTGTGATACTGAAAATTTTAATCCAGGCAGAAGTATCATTTGTAGCAAACACGTTGTACCAAGATTCATCACTCCAAAATCATGACTCTTGGGTGATGCATATCCATCATTGTTTATTGATGATGGGCTCTCAATCAGCCTACCCTCTTCAAGCAATACTGGTAAGGCTGGTTTAATCTGCTATTGCCTTTAGATAATGTAATTAAAATGATATGTATCTTCACTTTATGTTGTGTTTTGGAATACCTCTATTCTTCATTAGATTTTTTTTTATTACAGAAATTATATTCACTTGGGAACACAGCTATGCAAGAAAAAGTCATGTTGACAACACATATTAGAAAGTGGAACTGAACAGAGGTTTGTTTTTAATTTATTTTATTTAGATAACAAAGTATGAACTTTGTGTATTAGCAGCAGTTTTGGTGTATTTTAATATAGATTTTTGCTTTAAAAAAGTCTAGTAGATCTCTATTTCTTACACACATAAAGAAAAATTACATTAAGTTACTTAACTCTAGCGGGCACGCTAGAAGTGATTTTGATCAGAGAATAAATTGATAATATAAATAACATATTTCTAATATCATCTAAGATTATATCCTGTTTTTTAATCTTACCCACATAATCAATATTGATTTCATAGGTGGTGTAATTTTAAAAGAACAAATTGAGACTCCTGTGTCTGCAGCCACTGAGTTTACACAATTAGTTGCTTGCTCTGGAGATTAAAATATGACACAAACTAAATTATCTGGTAAGACCTGTCTCTTTCTTTAGTGTATCTTTATTTCAATCAAATAGTAGTTCTAATAGAGAAATTCACTGAATACTTTTGATGTTACAGACCCTGTGAAATGTACCCAAACAAAAAGGAAAAGGCTTATTACCAAATAAAGCCAATTGTCACCGTTATACCAGAGAATTTATGAAGAATATAACAAGCCAAATACGTAGTTGAACTTTTATCATAAAGTTAAGAATACTTAAATACCTTTAAGTATTGTAAAAAGTTATCATTTGAATAGTTCCGACAAAAAATGAACACAGTTGCAAAAATGTTTTTGAAATTCAAGTGAGCATGTGCTCTAAAAATAAACATGAGAGGTGATTCACTACCGAAGAAAAGATAATTGCTTTATCAATATCAAAGCAGAGTCCAAAGTGTTATTGATTTTTAAGCAAAATTTTTTATTTTATCATCCAAAACTACACTGAATACTATGATTAGAAAATTGATCATAGAACCAGGCTTCATGTAAGAGGTAAATATATTCCATATAAGGTTTTTCATACTACTTTTATAATTTTTTGTATTACTACAAAATAATAATATGCTACCTATTTGAATTTACTTTTTCAGGTGGACAAATGAAACTCCAAAAAAATATGCTCCATCATATTTGATGAGATGTCATTAGAAAGATAATATTAATGGATTTGTAGAACACCAAGAAAAGAAAGTGGATTTTGCAGATCATACTCTTGTATTTATGTTGGTGCTATTTACAAGTGGCAACAGCCTTTATGTTAGTATTTCTGTCAAGGAGCGACATCTACTGTACATCAAGAATATTTTAAAGTTAGTAGTAGAAAAAGTTGTTGAATTGGACCTTAATCCCATCGCAATAATATATGACCAAGGCTCAGCTTTCCAATCAGCACTCAAAAATCTAAAAGAAGACACTTAGTGTAATCAAATTTCAAATTGAAATCACAGGTTGGTACAGAGAATTATATTTATATGAAAGAAAACTAATAGATTTAATGAAAGTAGTGAAGGTTCTTATTTTTATATTGTTATCTATGTTTTAAGAAGTTCTTAAATTTTTGTTTCAGTTGGATTCTTAAAATATGTGGGGTGGATTTGAACATTATGATTCAACACACTTGATAAAATGTATCAGGAACAATTTTTTAACAAAAAATTTAATATTGGATAGTAAACTTGCAAAATGGCATGATATTATTTATGTCTATGAGACAGATTGTCAACACACTGAAGCTAGGCTACGTCATAAATTAAATGACCAATAAGTTTGGTTATTATATTAGTATAACTTCAATTAGTATAAATAAAAGGAATAATTTGTATTCAGCTTCTATATTCTCTATCAGAGCAAGTGTTGATTCAATGACCTGTATTTTTAATTATGTAACAAGTAGTTAATATAGTTTACACTTAAATCACAATAATGATTCTCTAATGAAGATAATTTTAAACATGATATCTCTTTTTGCAGGTAAAAAATTGTGTAAAAATATGTCTGCAGCTTTGGTCTTACACTGCAAATTTCTGTGAGTATTAGATGAAATTTACTAACAGTTAATAGTTTGGAATCAAGTTTCATACAATTATTATATGAATATTTTAATTTGCAGCAACTTATGTGGATGGCAGGCCCGTCAGTACAACATTAAGAAATACAGCTGAAGTTGTTTCATTCTTTGACCAATTATTTGATAGTGTCAATGGAACATCGATAAACAAAAGAAGCATAAAGGAAAAGAGAATCATTATTTCTGGCCAAAGGCAACTGAAATTTTAGAAAACCTTAAATATGTATATAAAAAGGTATGCAAATATCAGTGCCCTCTTTAAAAAAAATGTGATTACCTTAAAAAGTTTCATAAGGTTGTGCCACTAAAAAAACGTAGCTAAGAATTGCCGAGAATGCAGAAGAAAGCTGTGAAAAATATAATAAGTTAAAAAATAAATTATTCAATAAATAATATTGGAAAAATGTATGTTTCATTTACGTGTTCGTTTTTCCTTTTTTGTTTTAATACAACAATAATAATAAGCTAGATTTATCAGTCTGCTTTATTGTTATTGTTGTATTAAAACAAAAAAGGAATTTAAATTAAAGTAAAAATAATGTGGAAACTAGGAAGACGGCTAGGTACCTACCCAAAACAGGGCTGTATAGCTAAATGCCTTTGCCCATACTAAATCTATATATTTAAAACGAATGAAGCTGTCATGTATCACTGGCTCCCAATCACGTTCTACGAAGAAATTTTTTGTTAGGAAGTTGGTCGTCTGATACCTACTAAGTCTGTGATTGTATGGTTGTAGCAGATTTTAGCATGGTTTTCGTTCACAAAAATAAAACATAAAATAAATTGATTTTATAACTTTTAAATGAATCTCTGTACCACATAAACCTTACTGTAGCTATGGCATCGCCTCACAATGTATCAGTCGATCAGGTGCGCCAGATATTGTGTGAAGTGATAGATGCCCTAGAGTGTCCAGATTACTCATCGAAGCTGGACGAAGCCAAAGAAGCTGCTGGAAACGAGATGCTAAAAATGATGCAGATAGTATTCCCAATGGTGGTGCAAATCGAAATGGAAATCATCAAACGTCATGGTTTTTGCAATTCCAGAGAAGGTATAACGCTGAAACTTTTTTTAGTAGATCTTTGTATTATAATGTCCGATTTTAGGACACATTCATTAATGTACAAACCTCACTACAGAAGGCTGTTTCATCAATCAGTTTAATCATCTCATCTGACGATTGGCGACACACTAATTGGCAGTAATTATTCTATAATCTCATTTGTTATTTTTAAGTCTAAACCAGACAAATTTCTTCCACATTATTGATGAAACAAGATTTAAAAATCTGTTCAGTAATTTAAGAGGTTAACAGATAGTATTAGTGGTGGACTTTGTTTCGTGAATATAATCGTCATTATCATCACCAGCCTATTTATGTCTCCAATGCTGAGTCTCAGGTCTTCCTTCCTTTTAAAACAAAAATTGTTCTTCAGAGCTATTTTTTTTTTATATAAATAAAAAGTTACATCAACTAAAGAGTTAACATTTTTGTTACTATGGATTTTCATAGGGTTTCTTTTTTCTTTTAAGAACAATTCCAGTTTTTCAGGTTACTATTTATTACTTTCCAGTATCAATATACTTTTTACCAACATAAAAAGAAAATTAATTCAATGGAAATTCATACTTCAAGACATAATATAAAAATGAGTGATTAGGGAAAGTTATCTAATGAGAAATTTCTTAGTTAAAATCAGCATACAAACAGATTTTGAGTCTCACTATGAGCTGGAACTATAACAAGAAAAGGCCATCAACCAAAAATGTTGTGTCGATGTCACTTCCTTCCTGGACTAAGTTTGCCTTGTTACAAAAGATAACTTCTGTAGTATTTCCTCAATTATTCCTCACATTTCCTGATGCCTTTAAATTCCGTGTACAGGTATTGTGCAGTTCACCCAACTGGTTCGTGAAATGGAAAGTATGGATAGTGAGGTGGCACGCTTACACGCCCAGATCCGCAGTCATTACCTGCCACCAGTCTCCATCAGCTCTACTGTGGACACTTCTCTCTAAGAGGTAAAAACATACTTGCTTAATTAGTACTTCAAAACAGGGTTGTTGCTGATGCAGGTTTTTCATCCAGGTCATGATAAACGCTCTGAGCCGGTTGACTGACTATTAATATTTTTGTATTAAATATATTTTTTATAATAAACTTAATTCTCCACTTTATGACCCCTATAGCTTCCAATATTTCAAACTATAATAGTTCTCCTTATTTTTAACACTGGAAATTCTGGTCAGATTAAAATATACCTATATTTATTTATTGAAAAATCTCATGATAACCTTGCCCCTATTATAACCATGTGTACTGCAGCTATTGTGATAGGTTTGTTTATAGTTCTGAATTCTATTGTTGCCGACACTCCGTGGACAATTAATTTGTTCATTCACTTTGTTTCACATTTGTTTACATTTACCCATATTTATAACAGATATAGACTTCATATTATTTTTACAGTTATAGTTGTGTTCTCACCTTGAGAGTGCTCTTGTCCTCTGAAAACTTGTTTTTCTTGTTTTTCAAAACTCATCATCGAGTGAGTATTTTATTGTTTTGTGTATAGTGTTACTTAAATCATTTAGAAGTGTACTATAATATATGCTATAGTGTACTATAAAATTTCTTATAATACAAACTTTATTCTGACATTAAGAACATATAAAAAAAAATCATTCAATTCATTGCAGTTGTTCAGAAGTTATGTGCGTGTGTACATTTCGATGATTCATTTTTTTTAATAGATTGTAAGTCCTCGCAAGTGCAGAACGAAACATCGTTTTCTCCAATTACATCCGAATCTCGTTCAGGTGGACTTTCATGATAAGTGCATATTTTGGACCATTTTAAGATGACCGACAACAAAAGTTAGTAAATTAAATAAAGTTTACAATAATAGAAGGCTTCAAATCTTTGAGATTTCGAGATTGAGATGATGCACAAAGTTAGCCAATAATACAAGTGATACGCACTTCACCGGTAGATAATAAAATAGTAGAAACCACATAATCCAATATAAATTATAAAAAAAAGTATATTGCAAGGGTAAATAATAACTGTAATACATGTCCTTCTAAAAGGTTTGATTATTGACGTGAATACGTCTATGTTTTCGTTCTACAGGGGGGGGGGGGTCATTCTGTGAGCAGGAGTATATGCACTAACGCCATCTATTGGCGTATAAGTGAACTATGCTTGCTCTGCAGGGGGAGGGGCATTCTGTCAGCAGGAGTATATGCACTAACGCCATCTGTTGGCGCTAGTGAATACTTTTTTCATTCAACAAATGAACGCAACGAATATTTATTTATTTAGTGTCTTCAATTTGTTTATTTATTTTTTTATCAATTACTCATATATCCATTCATACATAGACGTATCCACGCATAAAATATGGCTGTATCAATGATACAGCCAACCAGGGTTTTTTTGTTTGTTTGCATTGAATATGCTCCGAAATTACTAGAACGATTTAAAAAAAAAACTCACCTTTATATTAATTAATCATACGCGGGTGCCAGGCAAAAGGCATAATATAATTTATCTGTGACAGAGGCTATAATTTACGCGGGTGAAGTCGTAGGGCATAGTGGTAATAAAACTCGTACTGACAACGATTAATGTTTTAAGTTTTAAATATACAAAATTATGTCAATGTTTGATCTTATAGCAAGTGATTGAAACCATATTTTAAACAGATACCAATCCAAAAAGATAAAATTTAAATAAATTTAACCGCTTAATTATACCAGGTGGAAGAATAATCGTAACAAAGCCGATAACTGTATATTCTATACGCAAAAATAAATATCATAAAAAAATATAACTGAACCGAAAACAACATACCTTAAACTTCGATACAATAACAGGATACAGTAAATTTAAGAAGTAGCTCGGTGGCGTAGTGGATAAGCGCCGCGGCCCGCGATCGTAATCGTTAAGCAACTTTCGCAAGGGTCGGTCACGGGATGGGTGACCAAAAAATTATTATCTCGAGCTACTCCGTGCTTCGGAAGGCTCGTTAAGCCGTTGGTCCCGGCTGCATTAGCAGTCGTTAATACCCTCCAATCCGCATTGGGCCAGCGTGGAGGGTCATGGCCCATCCTCCTTAACCATTCATAAGGAAGGCCTGAGCCCCTGCAGTGGGGACGTAAAAGGGCTGGTGATGTGATGTGATATATGCTTAAATAATAATAATATTAGTAAATAAACACTAGACAATATACATTGCGTATATTCCACATCTAAAACTACGAAGGTAATCAGACCCTGGATAATATAGATTAGTTAATTTTCTACATAGATACCGACCGGGAATAGACCCCGGGACCTCGGAGATGATAACCGGCGTACGAGGCACTCGACCACCGAGGTTGATTCGAAATTAGGCTGCCACTTTGCCGCAGCGCACTACAATTGTATTTAGGGTGACAACTACGCGTATGTATGCGTAAAAAAATGCATATACCCACACAACACACACACACAAACTAGAATGAATGAAAAGCGAAACTTATTTTACAACTGGATGCGACGCGCCCTATTGTCCGTAATTTACTAGTTACTTTTTATTGGCTAAATTTACAGGTGAATTTCTTTCTAACGCTTTTCTATGTCGTTGTTATAGATATGTATAATGGGTAGCTTGACGTGCAGCCGTGTATACCTGCGTTATCAGTTTCAGATTTTTTATAAATATGATAAGCACTAGGTAGTAAATTGTGTGATAAACGTGTTACAGCAATGATAATAAGTGGAATAGAATAATTAATATGGAGATATCTCAGCTTAGTGTTTCTTAAATTAAAAGAAAGATGATTATGCACTGTAAATTAAATATATAAAAATTTTTTTGCAGGAAAATCTTCGGTTATGAGGAGGCCTCCTTAGGTTCCAATATGCCGCATAGGAGGAAAAAGTATAAACTGTTAATTGTAGTGTGTGTCGTGATATTTTTGTGCTATTTCTTCGGTGTCAGTGACTACATTAATTCAAAGAGTTTCGAGGACGATTTCGATTACCCTTTGAACGTAGACATCGTGCCTCTAGTAGACGAGGTGCTGACGGGTATGAAGGCGAGCGTATCACCTATCAATTATTACCCATATAGATTTTTAACAAACTCTGGGAAATGTAACACTATAGAAAAATTAGATTTATTCATAGTCGTCAAATCTGCAATGCAACATTTCGGTCACAGAACAGCTATCAGACAGACTTACGGTCAAGAAGATTTGATACCCGGTAGAATAATTAAAATACTCTTTTTCCTGGGTGTAGACAACCGTCATCATAAAACGGAACTCCAGAAACATATAGATGAGGAGATGATCAAATTCAAAGATATAATTCAGATGGACTTTCATGATAATTACTACAATAACACGATAAAAACAATGATGTCCTTCCGTTGGTTATATGAACATTGTGCCACTGCTGATTATTATTTATTTACCGATGATGATATGTACATATCTGTCAATAATCTACTGGATCACATACACGATGAAATAGTGCCTGTTAAAGAAGCTAAAAGTGGTGTAGAGAAGCACCTGTACACTGGTTACGTGTTCATGTCTTCGCCCCTCAGGCTCAGGACTAGTAAATGGCGTGTTTCCTTAGACGAGTATCCGTGGGACAAATGGCCGCCGTACGTGACGGCCGGCGCTTACGTTCTGTCTAATAAATCCATGAAAGTATTGTACGTTGGTAGTTTATTTGTGAAACATTTTCGTTTTGACGACATATACCTGGGTATCGTCGCAAAGAAAGTTGGCGTGAGACCTGAACATTGTGCGAAGTTCCATTTCTACAAGAAACAGTACGATAAGGAAGGTTATAGAGACGTCATAGCCTCCCATGGATACGATGACCATGAAGAACTGGTTAGGGTTTGGAACGAGCAAAACAGTATACGTGAGCGATAAATTCTGTTTAAATTGTCCTAACTCCTATTAAAATAACAATTGCCTCATTTGGCATTGCAATCTCTTGACAATATAAAAAAAAAAAACTTTTGTCGCAAATCATTTTTATTTCATTACTTATATTGTGATTCAGATTAAAGTACGCGATGCTGTACATTGTGCAATCGAGAGCACGTTAGGTCTCCACAAAAGGCTTTCTCTAATAGACTTTCAACCTTAATATTGTTAAAAGTTGTGTTCAAAGCAAAATTGAGAAATTTAGCCTTTTCTGAAAATCTGACGTGCTGTCTATATAATATTTTTACAAAGAAAAGCGTATTTAGTTTATATTACGAATCATTGAGGTTCATACATCAAGTGGTATTTAGATGTTATCAACTTGGTTATTTATTAGTAATAAAACTCGAACAGCCAGTTGCACAAACGTTCATTAAAATTTTCATTAGTTTAAAGCGACATTACTCATACAAATTTAACAATCATTAGAGCTTAAGGCGTCATTAAACGTTAATGGATTTTTGTGCAACTGGCCGGACGTAGAGCAATATAAAGGCTTAAATGATTAGACCACGTGCTGGCGTGTAGTCGTTTTTAAATTTTCAACTCTATTAACTAGGTCAAAAAATGCAAATTCGTGGCATCCAGGCAACTGCAACGCTGGGACGTTTTATATTGGTGTTTTTTATAGTTAAATGAGCGGTGTGCTCATTCAAAGTGTACTTATTTTAGAACGAAATTTAAAAATGATTGTGGCTTGTGCCAAAGATTATGATATTTTATTATTAGGATACGTTTGTGGTATTGGCATATTAATTTTTGTTAAAAAAAAAGGTGCATATGAATGTTGATTTTTTACTTTTTAATATCCTAACTCAATTAAAAAGAAGTCTTGTTTATTAATGAATGAGTTCACCCTACCTTTTAGTAATACCTATATGGTGAATTCATCACGGGGAAGTAAATGGTAATGTTATGAAGATAAGGTTTTTTTTTGTTCGTTCATATCATGTGTAGCATGGCATTATTTTCCTCAATATATAGACTGCAATTCTTTATGCTTCGACTTCGTTCCAAGAAATCGCGTACTAATATCAGGGTGTCAGGTGCGTACTCAGGGTGATGCTATTCTGAAGACAGAAAATTTAATTTTTTCGCTATGTAAATTAAAGGGTATATATTTTTGTGAAAAATAAAACTGATTCGCAAAAACTGTTAGAATATAAGTTTTATACTCAGTAGTGTTAGTTTTGTTAGTTTACTGCAATTGAATACTGATTAAATAATAGTACAAGTTTATATAATAATATTTAATTTGTCAAACAATCTCAACATTTGTAAATAACAAACAGTTTCTTATTACATATATACTTAAAGGTATATGGCACTATCATAATTTATATATATAACATTTTTACATGTTTGTCAATTTGTATAAATGAGTCGAAATAAATATATTACTACAGAAAATTTGGTTTTTCTTGACTATCTATAACCATCCACAACCATCTTAAACTGGGGCGAATTATACTACATTATCCTAAAAAAAAATCAGATAAAACCGCATTATATACAAATTGTCATTTTAAACTTGAGTTCTAGTAGTTAAATCATCATCATCATCATCATCACCCCCTTTTACGTCCCCACTGCAGGGGCAGTAGTAGTTAAATACTATATTTCATTGGCGTGTACCTAGCAAAATAGAAAAAATACTATGAAAGTAGAATTGTAAATCTTATTTGATTTTATTGTAAAGAATGTTTGGTTCATTTAGCTAAGAATTGTGATCAGAAATCTTCTTCAGCGCTCCGCTATGTACACTCCAACTCTATAGTTTTGTTAAAATAATACATATTGAGCAAATAGTATATAAAGGAAGAACGTTGCAATTACCTATAAACAGGTAATGTAACATCAAACAAATTATAAAACAATACAATCAAAATCACTGTCCAAATTATACGAAATTGGTGAATATTACATACTAGCTTTCGCCAGCGGCTTCGCCCGCGTGGACCTTAAGGAAATGTTTAGTGGTTAAAGTATCCTATTATCTAAGTCAGCTAACACCCTATCTGTTTCCCAAATTTCATCAAAATCCGTTCAGTAGTTTCGGCGTGATTGACGTACAAACATCCAAACGACCAAACATCTAAACATCAAACAAAGAAACTTTCACATTTATAATATTAATAGGATCACAAGTATTTATTCGAGAAATACCAAACACATCAGTTATACAACTGTTTTGTTTTGGCCCCTTTACATATCACAAATAACATCTATTGCACTCCAAATTCTTTGTATTGAATAATAACTCTGATTATATTGAATGTTGGGTACATTTTATTTAATCCGATCTAATGAGGGCTAACGCGTTTGAATTTGCCACTAGAGGCGCTAGTGTAGCGAGAGGTCTTCAAAATGTCAAATATCCTATATTGTCGGTAAACTACGCACGTTTATTTTCATATAAACGAATTTTGACGCTTATTTTGCTTTACCTGAGATTCATAAAAGCAATTATGAATTACCCGTCATTGAATGTCAGTGATTTAAAGCCAGAACTAAGAAAAGTAATGCAAAATTAAGCGCAAGGAAAGAAGAGCTAAATCAGAGGTTAGTTCGTGTTTATTCAGCATATTCGATATTTTTAATGTAATGTTTTATTTATGTATTATGAATATTATGATGTATGATTTAAGTTCAATCTCGTAGTGAACATACTTTGACAGGACCTCTCGCGACTGCCGCGCCATCTGGTGAGCGAAAAAACCGTAGCCCTCATTGAAATCAGATGAGTTGCGTGGCGGATATATTCTCCTATTTCCATAAATAATATATGAAATATAATATAGTAGGTAAACATTTCGTTTATATGAATCCTATGATATTTTTATTACAGTATACTCATTTATTAGCGAAGCCAGATTGTCGGTATTCGTCTGGATAATCCCGATATTTGGGATTCAGAGGCGCGAAAAAAGGAGTCATCGATGAAATCATTAAATCAATTATTCACTTAATATTAGCTTAGCGGCCTACGAAAAATTTTCGTAAAGTACACTCATTGATATCTTCTGGTCCAGATTTAGACCAAACAATTCATCTAACACGCCTATTGTAGAATGCTGATATATTACACTTATACCGTTGCCGCAAACTCCAAATCTCTACAAACAAACACACATGTGAACACGTCTTAAACACTTGCGGGAAATACCCTTTGATTTATGATAACAACCAAATCAATCGGATCAGCGCTTATTATTTCTTAATTTTAAGGAGCTATACACTTGCATGTGGAACTGTGACCTTAACTAAAGGTGACTCGCCTTTTAGAGCATATATACCTTCTGCACCGATTATGTGTCGTTCCAGATATATGCTTCGGTGGTCCACATTCAAACCGAACATGTATTGTGTTTCACGCTACCGTTTAGAATATCTGCAAATGTATGTGTCACTCAACTTCACGTGTAATAGGTATACACGAACGCTTGCATACCTACAAAGCTAAGTAATACAAATCCTTTTTTTTTTACCGAGGGGAACTGACCTTAACATGCCATAGACCTTGACGAGAGGCCGACTGAACCCGGGCTCTCCTGCTGCGGAGGTTAAAGAACCCCTATCTACAGCAGGCCTACCGTGCAAAACCCCCCGTATTACCTGGTATCTGGCAAGGAAAAACCAGGCTAAGTAATACAAATCCTAGCAAATTATCTAATTTCAACATTTATAGCAAAGGAATACATATACTGATAGCGGTAATAGGCTAGTTGACAACTTTTTTTTATTATTTAATAAATTAATAGTCCATTAACATCTGAGAAATAATGTCGAAGTAACAGCATGTCTGCGAATAGTTTCGGAGATACGATGCTGTGTTTGTAGAACTGCTGCTAATTGGCCGAAAAAGCTACCTACAAATTCAAGGCACTAAGTGACGTCACACGGTGTAACAGTAGCGAAAAATGTCTGCGTGTGGACAATTTTTGTAATATCTTTGTTATTTGTGCGTTTATGTTTATAGCTGTTATTATAAAAGTTGCAAGATTTTTTATATCTAATTTAATGCCTTATGTATTTAAGCAAATTTTTGTAGTAGATTTTCTCTACTTTTTTCAAGTTTTCAAAGCGTAATATTTTCCAAATCGGTGACTGAAAATTTGTTTTGTCAAACATTTATAAGTTAAAATGGTTCATATTTTTCGAAGATATAACAAAATCCTGTATTTTCACTTGTAGGACACAAGCCTTTTATGTAACGTTAAAACTCTCAATCGGTTTCAAAGTTAAATGATCGAGAACCATAATAAAAACTTAAAGTATTATTTACGTCTGACGCTAGCCTTAAACAATTGCAACTACCGTCAAAACGACATCGTCAATTCAATATCTTTGATAAAGCCGTCGCGATCGTAAATAGTTGTAGTCAATGTAGTCAATCACATGTCAAATAGTTGTAGCGTGAAGTTCGTGAATATCTGCCAAATTTAACGGAGACTGGTAGATATTACATTTAGGGTATGTTCCGACCACTGAACAGTATGACGTCAATTTAGTATACTGGAAGCCCGTTCCTTTATAGCTAGTTATACTTGTGACTATTTAAAACGGAACGCAGTCCAGTATACTGTTAATCCTATTTTCTGACGCCATTTTCAAATTTGTTAATGCATGGTGAATATAAAAAAAGATTCCCTCTTTTCAAAAGAAAATTGGAAAATTGTATAAAAAAAAATATTTATCAATTAAATCCATCTTATAAATAAACGTAAGTATTTTTTTTTTGTTTATTTAGAAACTTATCATTTTCTGATTCTGTTTCGACTGATCACGTGATCAAAAGCACTGCGAGCACCTTACCTCGAAATCTCCAGTGCTCACAGTACAAATATGGCGGCAATTAATGACGTCATAAATTTCCCTAGGGTACTGTAGCAGTGTACTGGCAGTCCATAACGGAACGGATTTTTCAGCAGTAAGACCACTGCGCAGTGCTCGCAGTGTATATCGGAACATACCCTTAGCCAATTACGGCCCAGTACATCCACTAGTTTGAATATGCGTTGGCTCGTCGAGTTTTACATTACATCCAATCAGTTGGCGGCTGCGTCCATCTCCTTGAACACGTACGTGATCTTCATGATGGCGAGCCACAGGTCCTCGTCCGTGATGTCCAGGTGCAGCGTCAGGCGGATCGTCTTGCTGTTGAACTGTATCACCTTCACTATAACGCCCTCGTCTTTGGCAGTCTTGCAATCGCCCTGCGAGATAATTATTATTATTTCACTCTCCGCCTTTATGGACCGTTTACACGAGATCAGACCTACTGTTGATCGCAATCGTGACCGATCAACACTGCGATCGTGCCGCTCCGCACTTTTGATTGGTTCACTAGCATACTCTGGCGCTAGTGTACCCAATCAAGAGCACGAAACGGCACAATTGCAATTTAGATCGGTCGCGATTGCGTTCGAGATTAAGGGGGCAGGGGCCGAGACAGTCCAGTGAGCTATATTAGGTTGATGGCTAATTTTTGTTTGTTTGTTCGTCGAGTCGATCATTGAAGAATATTAAACGTGTCTTTTTTTTTCGTAATCAATAAATTACGGCAATACCTACATAGTTGAAATGTCGTATGACGTCACACCTTTGCACATTCAAAGTTACTTTTTTTATTCATAGTATACATAGTTGTGACATAGCAAGCCCCCATTTCTCAACTTTAATACAAATTATCGTAGCCATTTCTTGTTAAATTGAAGCAAAAGATACATCATCATCATCATCATCATCATCACCAGCCCATTTACGTCCCCACTGCAGGGGCTCAGGCCTTACTTATGGATGGTTAAGGAGGATGGGCCATGACCCTCCACGCTGGCCCAATGCGGATTGGAGGGTATTAACGACTGCAAATGCAGCCGGAACCAACGGCTTAACGTGCCTTCCGAAGCACGGCATTGCTCGAGATAATAATTTTTTAGGTCACCCATCCCGTGACCGACCCTTGCGAAAGTTGCTTAATGACAACGATCGCGGGCCGTGGCGCTTATCCACTACGCCGCCGTGTGGAACCTACTAACCCTTGAGTTTTACATGTATACATATGAAAAAATATGTCTCGACCTAAGTCGTTTCGCATTTCGAGAACCTAACATGCCGTAAGTACGAGTACTGCCTGTACTTGAGGCTGATGGGCGTTTGAAGCATTTAACATTAAGTAGACACCGGTAATACCTGCGTCTCGGCCAGGCTGACCTGCGCGAGGCGCTCCACCACTTGGGCGGCGCGCAGCGGACTGGCCTCGGGGATGTGCACCAGCACCAGGTTGGTGTGCAGGTTCTCCAGGTCCACCCTGAACGACGGCAGGGACAGCCCGTCGATTACTGCCGCACAATTATTACATTATTTTACAGTATAACTTGATATAACATAAAAAATCGATCAAATGAAAGTTTGACTCTCGCAAGTAGGGTTCCGTGAATACGGCAGTAAATTCATGTCATTTGTATGAGAGCCCCACATAAATATTAATTTTATTGGATTTTTTCTTTAAATCTTAAAATTGCATGATTGTCTGAAAATTAAAAGTCTAGAGTTTTGTATCTATGTCTCGCGACATGAAACACGACTCGCCATTGTGTGACGTCACTGCGACGACAGCTGTTATTATATAGGTCATTAAGATATAACTATTAATTATAAATCAAATTTCTAGGTGGCGCTGTTCTTAGCTTATTTATTTCATTATCGATAGTAAGATGGCACTTTTCTCGCTTTATTGATATCTTTTAATCTTCTACTCTGTGTATCTGTTTTGTGTACATATCAGAATGACGTCATGAATATGACGGGCAGCGTTTTCGCGGGTATTAAATAAAAACACAGGAACTAATTTTAAGGCAAGAAAACATATTTATTTTTCCTAAAAAAATTGTTTTATGTCCTTTTAAATTAAAATAAATAATTACAAATATTATTTCAAACAAAGTAGAATATCCTATTATAGTCGTTTTCACATAGCAAGGTTACGGTGCCGTTTGGAATACGCGGTCATAAAATATATATATATATATATACAAAAACTCGATATTATTGAGTTCATTTCTAATAGAGACAACAGTTCTGAGGTTAACATATGAAACAGGATTTAAAAATAATATTTATTCACGAACAAGAAAAGCCCCCAATCAGTAAAATACAAAATGTTATTATAATTAAATTTAACTATTACAACAACAATAATTAAAAAAAATTACAAATGCTTACCGAATACATATTTCGATTAAAATCAAATTCATTAACTTTTCATTAGATTTCAGTAATTATAGCTAATGTAAATTTATGTGTTTTATTAATACGCAAATTACGTATCTGTTAACAAATGTCACCGTACCCGTGCTATGTGAAACGGCCTTTAGGGTATGTTCCGATATACACTGCGACCACTGAAAAGTATGACGTCAATTTAGTATACTGGAAGCCCGTTCCTTTATAGCTAGTTATACTGGTGACTTTTTAAAACGGAACGCAGTCCAGTATACTGTTAATCCTATTTTTGGCGCCATTTTCATATTTGTTAATGCAAGGTGAATATAAATATAAAGATTCCCTCTTTTCAAAAGAAAATATTATAAAATTGGAAAATTGTATAAAAAAAATATTTATCAATGAAATCCATCTTATAATAAACGTAAGTATTTTATTTTATCTGTTTCGACTGATCACGTGGTCAAAAGCACTACGAGCACTGCACCTCGAAACCACCAGTGCTCACAGTACAAATATGGCGGCAATTCATGACGTCATAAATTTCCCTAGGGTACTGTAGCAGTGTACTGGCAGTCAATAACGGAACGGATTTTTCAGCAGTAAGACCACTGCGCAGTGCTCGCAGTGTATATCGGAACATACCCTTAGTGAAATAAAGAAATGGACCTTTAGCGAGTATCCGGGCCCGCTTGTGGTCCATGGCCAGTCGCGGCACGGCCTCGTGTAGGGCCACTAGCGCGGCGGCCGCCAGCACGCCCGCCTGCCGCATGCCGCCGCCCAACATCTTGCGGACGCGACGGGCGCTGGCGATACACCGAGGCGACGTCAAAAACGTTTCCAATGCAGTCGCGCATAAAGCGCTATTTTTTTAATCCATTGTAAACACTGACAGTGTTATTACCAGAGGTCGGAATTAGGTAGAGTTATTTATGTACTTGCATCGAAATGTTGATATTAATGTGGACCTTCCCGGGATTTCTTTATTTCTTTCTTTCATTGACGTAAGTTTGGCAACGTCGTGCGTGCAGTAGTTTAAATAGTGTAAAAGTAAATAACTTTTTATTTAAAAAATCACGGGATTTTTTCTGCTCTTTAAAATTAATCTCGGGATTTGAGGCATATCCACTATATTCTTTCGCTGTATGAAATCAGTGTAAGTACATGAATAACTCTACCTAATTCCGACCACTGGTTATTACAAAAAAGATTAACACGCGTTGAACACGTGTTTAAAAATTGTTCTATTAGACAATCGTATTTAAGCATTGGTTAAGGCAAAACAACCCTTAAACATTGTTTGTTGAGTATCTAACCTTTCTCAATATTTCACTACAGTTTTACATGTTCTGACATTTAATTAAATATTTTCATTTACAAAAAATATTAACTAGTGTGTTTATAAAGATATCTTTTTACGTCTTAAATTTATTATAAGTTTGTATACAGCGTGCATAGAATTGAACGTGTATGAACAAATAGAAGCCAGTAGAACGAATGTTTCTTCGAAAGAACTAGTGTTACTTAGACAATGTTTAAAAATGAATTTTTAATAGGGAAAGTTAGACATCATTTTAAACAGGGTTTATATTCTTAAACACAGTTTAGATAAACACATGGTAAAACACTGTTTAACGTCTCTTTTGTAATAACATTGCGAAAGTAAGTCTTTAAACACACTTTTAATAAATATGTACTGAAATCCTTTCCTGCACAAGTGCTTAAAAGTATTTTTTTAATTTTTTTTTTGGCCGAGCACCAAATATATTTAAAGAAAAATTAATGAAAATATGTCAAACTTTAGAGGCAAAAGTATTTCAAGGAGCCTAGAACGAATATTTTCAAATAAAAATGTATGACACGAAAACATGTTCAAATGTCACGTTTAATTTTAACTAATAATTTTTACCTTTAATACATACTTAGTTTTATTAACCTATTTAACCTATTTAGGTTGTTTTATTTCCTCGCAAAAAGCATTGAAAAATGTTGTAAGAAACTTGAGCGTTAAAGGTTTTTCGAATTCGTGCCAATGAAAACCTTCGCTAAATTGGCCCTTATTCGTAAAACCTTACTTTCCGCACTCGAATCTTAAATAAGTATTATATATCTATACTAATATTATAAAGCTGAAGAGTTTGTTTGTTTGAACGCGCTAAGCTCAGGAACTACTGGTTCAAATTGAAAAAATATTTTTGTGTTGAATAGACCATTTATCGAGGAAGGCTTTAGACTATATAACATCACGGTGCAACTATTAGGAGCGAAGAAATAATGAAAAATGTAGAAAAAACGAGGAGAATTATCCATCTTTGAGGGCTTCCGTTGCGTGCGCTGCGGAAACGGTTCAAGATACCAAAATTATATGTATGTAAAACTATGCTATGACAACAGCAATCATTGTTTACTATTTAATTTGTAATTATATCTGAGTCATGCTATGAATCGATACCCAAATAAACAGTTCCCTAGAGATGACGCAAGCGAAGCCGCTGGTGGAAAGCTAGTTAATAATAATAATAATCTTTTTTCATTTTTCTTCTACATTTTGAGCAACAAATGTGTACAACATACGAAATATAACAAGTTTTATTTCGACAGAGGTCCAAACTAGACCCCGTTCTATGGCACTCCTGGCCTCCACCCCTCGAATTAATAATCACAATGTCATTTTTAAAGAAAAAAATTCAAAACAATGAAAAGCGAAAGAGTATCACCTCAAGTGTTATATAGAGTGAGACCGCATGCAAGCTAGTGGGTGGATGTGTGCATTTTTGTGTTTGTGTGTGTGCTTATGTGTAAGTTTATGAGTTTATAGTAAGAGAGTGTGTATGAGTGCGTACATACATGCACAAATATCCACTCATCTCCATATCAATTAAATATTTAAGCCTTAATTTTCAAAATATCTTCAGTTTCATTGTAATTTAGACATAGAAGGTATGATGTTACTACATTTTTACAATTATGCCTTATTATGGGATGTATTTCCAGCAATTTCAAAAAGTAAAGAAGTTATTAGCATATTGGCTAAGTGCCGCGGCCCGCGACCGTTGTTGTTAAGGAACTTTCGGATGGGCGGATGGGCTACCGAAAAGTGTTATCTCGAGCTACTCCGCACTTCGGAAGGTACGCTAAGCCGTTGGTTTCGGCTGCATTTGCAGTCGCTAATACCCTCTAGTTCAAGGGACGTAAAAGGCCTAATGATAAAACGTAGTAGAGTAGGGCCCGTACATTAATTTCATAAAAATTTAATGCGTGCGTGCGTGCGTGCGTGCGTGCGTGCGTGCGTGCGTGCGTGCGTGCGTGCGTGTGTGTGTGTGCTTTTATTTATTCTTCACTTTATCTTTACTTCATATATTTGTTTACTTTATTTATCGTGTATTAGTTGGCAGCAATTTCTTACATAATCAATCGATGATTGTGTCCACTTAATGCAATTTTTTGACAGCAGGCAAATTCTGATACAATGTTTACGTAATGAGATCAATCTAACAGCCAGTTGCACAAACATCAATAAAAATTTAAAGTGACATTACCGATACAATTTTGACATTCATTAGAACTTAAAGCCGTCATTAATCCTTAATGGACGTTTGTGCAACTAAACTTAAAAAAGGCCGAGATCTCGCGAGAACGAGATGGCATTTCCTATTTAATAGCATAATGATTCACTCGTTAATTATACAGACTTTTTTTATCAGAATCAGCATGGACAGATTTATATCTATAGATTCTATACTTATATTATAGAGGAAATATTTGATTGTTTCTTTGTTTGAATTGAATAAGCTCCCAAATTATTGGACCTACAACTAGATCGGGCAGGGATCTAGTTATTTTAAAGTAAAATAAAACAATAGAATGCGATGCTCATCATAAGGGTTTACAGATATCCAACTATCAGACAGCAAGTACTTACTGCTCAATAAAGTGGTAAGAACCCACCAGTGCCGATCCGACAGGGGCCGCCAAGCCCTTGCTGAAGCACACGGAGACGCTGTCGCAGTCGCGCGCCACTCGGGCGGGGCTCTGCTGCAAGTACTCGCACGCGTTGAACAACCTAGCGCCATCTAGGTGGATCGGGATCTTGTGCTTCTTGCACAACTCTGCCAACTCATCCACCCATTGCAGAGGTAATGCCTGCAATTTTTTATTTAATACTAAATAAAATCGCATACGTTGCTCAGATTCCAAGCTCTCGTATTATGGAATATCTGAGACAACCAAGGTACCACAATACCCAGACTAGAGACATTATAGAATAGTCCTTTTTCGAATCGAACCCGGAACCTCAGAGATGGCGACACCTTAACTTGTAGCAATATACCAATCATTATCATCACCACCATCTTATTAATGTTCCCACTGTTGGGGCTCAGGCCTCCTCTATGGATAAAATTGACTCAAATCAATAGGGAGAATGGGCCATCACAATGAAATGAAATGAAAATATCTTTATTCAAGTAGGCCTTGACAAGCACTTTTGAATCATCTAAAAAAAAATGGAAGCAACGGAAGCACGGAGGTGCTCCAAATTATAAATTTTAGATCACCCATCCTACGACGGGCCTTGCGAAAGTTGCCGTCGCTCAGCGAATGTTACGTGAGCTAGGTGCGAGTGGAACGGAAGTGATCCAGCCAGGACCTACGCTTAAGAAAGCGCGTACACCAAAAGCTTATCTTTCAAGTTTTGTACCAAGACATAACATTGAAATAAGCTTTTATTAAAAATTTAAAAACATTGTCACAATCATAACATAATTTCATGTAGTATGAAAAAATCATATGATTAGTTCTTTTCATAATAAAACTCTATCATTTAGAAAAAAAAATGATAAATAAGAGTCACTCTGTAACCAAGGGCTTTATGCAATATTATCACATTATTCTTAACAAAACTCAGAAGAGAAATTTGAGACAATATATGTTTGGTGACCTATTACAGACTGAACATTCTACCTTGTTGTTAAGCTCCTAAAAACACAACTTAAGCTTTATAGGCCAAATCTATTTCATGAGAATTGCCTAAATATTGATTAAAATATGCTCACTAGTAACGAAAAAGTAACAATTGCTTGAAAAAATTGTCAACCCTTATTGTCTAAATTGTTGGTTAGAGCAGTCTCCCGGATTGTGAAAAGTTGTGGCTTCGAGTTCCATCTCCAGAACACTTGGGGCTGGTAAATTTTATAGAAATTATTCATTAAAAATATTGATTTTTATATTAAGTACCTTGCCTCCACAGACATTGTGTGTATTCTCAATAGTCACAAGTGAAGTGATGGGTTCATGTATGTCAGAACCGCGGATCCGTCTCTCCAGTACATTTAAGTCAAAAGTTCCATCAGCCTTGTTAGGTATATTAGACAACATCACTCCTGCTAAGTGAGTTGCACCACCTGTTGATAACGTTTTGAAGTAGTTGTGATGAAAAACAGCATTTATAGGATGTCACTTCATGTACATGTACACATAAAGTGTGTTTTGTACAGTCCTGGGGCTCAGAAAAGCATAATATCGAGGGTCCATGAAAATATTGATAGTATTTCAGCAAATGATCGTTCTCGAGATTAGTATTTATTTGATTAGATTATATTACTAGTAGTATCGCATATGTGTCACTACTCCGGCACTATAGTTGAGATTTCTTTGCATTTGCTTTTTTTTTTTTTTTTTTTTTATTATTACGAGGGTAGTTCTCATCTTCTTAGTCGATACCGTTCCCTGCCATCTTCATTCGCTTTATAGTGCCCGACTGCTCCGGTCGTATTCCCAATAACGTGTATAACAGATCGTTAAAATGCCGAAACGTACGAAAGTTAGAACATGTGAAGAAGAGTTAAAACATCCTCAAAAGAAAATGCGTAAATTAGAACAAAAAATATGTGATAAGGAAAGTTCAGTTAGTGACATGTGCCCGAATTTATTGGTACGGAATGCAATCAGAAAAGTCATTGGGGCTTATTCAACGCATTCAATAAATCAGTTAGCGTTCAATCCATTGGGGATCTACCTAACTTTGACAAGATAACTATCGTTATCTAAAAGTGCTATTGTACATATCGTACCTATCAGACTATAACGTATTTACGTTAAAACAAAAAGTATGCACCTGAACTGCCGTTGGGGTTGATTCGTCGCATACTTTTATGGATGACTATGATCATCATAGTCATAATATGAATGAAAATCTCAAACGATTTTCTTATCTTTCTGCCACCCCACCTATGGTGCCGAGTGATTGGTTATTAGAACAACCTCATTATGACGATGATCCACAATCCATGATTGGTATCAGTGACATTCAAAACTTATACTATACACTGAGGATGACTGTGTCGACGCGACGACCTTTAACGAACCACCTGTCGAGTCAAAGTTACGGCCCCAAGAAGGGGTCCATAACGAAAATGATCTGGACACCGATGTCCTTGAAATTCTCGGCGAAGATCCTTCGCACTTAGAGAAGCTCGGTATAACCACATGACTCGCTTGTCGACTAACTCATATTACCATAGAGGGGCTTAATAAGGATATCCGTAAGGAGCTGATAGCGAAGTACCCAATTGCTGCTAATTGCTCTCTTATTAGTGCTCCAAAACTTAACCCTGAAATCAAGGCTGCCATACTTGAAAATACTCTTAAGAGGGACAAAGGCATAGAGGGTAAACAAACGCAAATGGCCAGTGCTATTGCTTGTCTTGGAGAAATAATTATTACTCATCTTAACTCTAAGGAAAAGGATAAAGAATAACTGCTTTAGCTAATGGACCGCAGTCGTTTACTGTGCGATATTCAACATAGCGATTCAGTTACTAGAAGAAACTTTATAATGTTTTCATTAAAAAAGATCGATTCATTTTTATTCGGCGAAACATTGACTGAAACTCTTATGACAGCAAAATCAATAAACAAGTCTGGAATCGAATTAAAGGCTGACCCTTCTACAAAAAATATAAGTAAACGGCAAAAAATATCTAATCAGAATCAGTTAAACGGGAAAGCTCCCGGGCCGGCGTACAGGCAACCAGGCCCATCGCAGAGGAGTCGCGAGCCTGCATTCCCGCGCAGATTACCTCCCCAAGGTAGTGGCCGCGGCCGCAACCGCTGCCGCCACCACCACCGCCGCCCGCCACCGTCTCAAACACAGGGACGACGTCGCTACTGAATACATTCCCGAAGGATTCACGAATCGATTACCCTGGTGGCAGCAACCTTACCAGGAACGCCTTATCAAGAAGGAGCTTACCAACTTCCTCCTTGGATATAATGTTAGCCTCATTATCCCTAATTCACTCAGTCAATATGACGTATATTTAAAAAAAAAAAAAAAAAAATCGTGGACCTTTTGCAATAATAATTCCATTGACGTATTTACAGCTTCAGTCCCTACCGTTATTTACTTCCTTACTGTGTTGTTTAACGATGGTGGTCAATTAGGTACATTGAATTCATGCAGATCTGCCTTATCTTTTTTATTAGGATCACACATAGGTAAAGATGACAGAGTTCAGAGATTCTTAAGGGTGTGTTTCGTCTTCAACCACCCCTTCCAAAGTATAACTTTACATGGGATACGAATTGCGTTTTAGATCAGATAAGCCAATGGTTCCCAAATGAGGACCTAACGTTAGAGCAATTGACTAAAAAGACATTAACCTTACTGGCATTAACTACGGCACATAGAATGCAGACGTTGTCAAAAATCGAAATCAAAAACATACACATATCTCACAGTCAGGTTGTTATTAAAATACCACAAATTATTAAGACTCAAAACCAGGTCGTGAGAAACCAATACTTTATCTACCATTTTTCAATAGTAGGCCAAATGTGTGTCCAGCAAAAACACTACTATGTTATATTAATGAGACAAACTCCCTTAATAAAATCTGATGCTCTGTTTATAGGTATTAAAAAAGCCGTCAGTGCGATCCGTAATACTGCGGGCTGGAGGGGCAACTCTACCGTGTTCGCACAATTTTACAACAGGCCTATTCATAATCATGGTTGTACATCATTAGCCCAATCAATTATTGACCATTAAATAAATAAATCAGTGTATCAAAATTTCGTAATTACTACCTATACTATAATTTAGAATGGAAATAAATGTCAAAAGGAATTGTTCAGTTTGTATGGGCACTTTCACTTTGAGTGGACATTATCTACAGTTATAAAAAACATTATTTTTCAATATTTCATGTCTTAAGGTTAGAAATAAGAAGCAGAGATGGTTAAATAAAAAAATTATAGATTTACACATATTTACCTGTAATTTGACAATACAATTCTACAAGCAAAAGACAGTACTTCTAAATACACTTATTTATAAGAATAGACTTTACATGATCACTTAATAAATAAGTTACACTGCTCATACAGTTTGTCTTCAGCTGGAGGCTGGCATTCGGGTGGTCAAAAAAGCAGCTACATTTATATAAGTTGGTCACGTGATGTCCTTATCGTTAAATCTTCCATGGCCTCTCATGACGTGTGCTTGCAGTCAAACACAACTATTCTCCTAATTTGTGCTCACCCTCGAGAACAACTCTTCGGCTTGGAGTGGCTGTAAACTCGCATTTACATCTGCGTCTATTAACAGAAAGAACTATTTTAAAACACCTATCCAGTACATTTGTACATTACTATTAAAAAATAAATTAACATTAAATGTTGAACTACAGGTACAGTATTCCCACGCCTTCGCACATGTAAATAGTAGCCTATATCATCCTGATGAAAGATGTAGCTTCCCTTAAGTAAAAGGATTTTTTTACATCAGTCTTGTAGTTTCGAAGTTTGTTAACAAGCTCAACTAACAATCAAATGTTTCTAGTTTATGATATAAGTAAGGATAAGAGGCACAAAGCTCACAAACTAGTTTCACTATTTTTACAATAATAAGGCAAAAATAATAAACAATTTTACCTGATACCATGTGGGAATGGTCAGTCGCTGTGGTGAGTCGCAACCAGGAACAAAACAATATACTTGTGAATCAAGTGCTCTTTTATAATCCGGTAATGATCTGTATAGGTTCCAGAATATTATATCTGCTTGCTGCTAACATGGATAACAGACGCGATATGGATCTGCCATACACCTAAAGAGTATTATATAATATTAAATTATTTGTCAACAAAATGTTACTTAAACGATAGGGCAGCGATATATTAATGTTTTACTTGTCATACAGGAAGCTTAATTATGGTAAAATAATCAAAATAAATAAATATAACTATAATCCTACCTGTCGTGGGGATATCCAATTAATAATTATATTACTAATGTGTTTCTTTGACGGATATTTTTTGCAGATGTGATCTAGTACGTAATATAGATCTTTCACAATTTATACAAAGCTGCCGACGATGTCCTCTACTTGTGCTTGGTTTGGTGTCCATAGGTATAGCCGGGTCATCATTTCGAGAGGTTAATAAATAAATTGGTCGAAAGTAACAACAAAATCAAAACGTAAGAATTATCATTATCACTCAAATGTCTTTGTTGACAAAAGTGGAATGGTGCTGCCCTATAAGAATTATTAATCAATTAAAAAGTAATCAATAGTTTGTGTAAATTAACTTATATATCTAACCGAAAAGGATTATTTCTTATGTTTTTAATATATATGATACATGATATTGCAAAAGATTACCTAATGTATATGTATTAATATATAAATACTTTAATTACTTTTATTTTTATTAAAGTTAAAACTTATCGATTAATCGATACTATTAGTAATAGTACTTCAATAACATTTATTGATATGGAAACACAGTGAAATATGTTAACAAAACACATCCGAATCCAAAAAATACTTTTTTATGTGATATTTTTAATGTTTAGTTTCCCATGACGAGAGTATTAAAAATAATTTTTCTTTCAGTTTTAATAATAATTTACTGTTTACATATTTTTTACTTATTAGCTTGTCCACCAAAAGCCAAAATTGAACAATTCTCTTTATGTTCTTTTTTTGTTAATAATTAATAAATACTTATATATATAAAAAGCAAGTTATCGTCATTTATTGATGATATTTCCTAAATCTATTTTCAACACTCTCAAAGTCTACTAGTAATATAATCTAATCAAATAAATACTAATCTCGAGAACGAGGCGCGAAGTATAATTAATGATTAAACGAACTTACCAAGTGAAGTTCTATCATAATTATACGAAGCGCCTCGTTCGAAGAGATTAGTAAACCCGCCCAACCCTGTGAACATTATTCCCAATACTAAGTTCTCCGGAAATACATCAATAAACCAGATCTATCTCTAAACTTAATGAAGATGGCAGGGAACGGTATCGACTAAGAAGATGAGAACTACCCTCGTAATAATAAAAAAAAAAAAAAAAAGCAAATGCAAAGAAATCTCAACTATAGTGCCGGAGTAGTGACACATATGCGATACTACTAGTAATATAATCTAATCAAATAAATACTAATCTCTTCGAACGAGGCGCTTCGTATAATTATGATAGAACTTCACTTGGTAAGTTCAGTTTCAGAACAGCTGGTATAGAGCATTCAATTTGTAATACATTTTTTATACTAAAATGTAAAAAAAAAAAATTACATCACTAATGTTAAAATACCACTTTGTGTTATTCATATATTTTTACTATAAAATATTAATATTTCTACTCATGAACAGTTGTATTTCTGATCTCTATCTAAAAAACAGGATGAAACTATATGAATGAAGCTTAGTATCTTGCATTATGAAGTAAATTGTTAATGGTACTTTAGAGTCCATTATTACTTATCACAAATTATTGACATTATTACTTATCTGTAGTTCAAAAGGTTAACAAGATAAGATTCTCACCAACTTCATATCTAAAGATGTGGCTCAACTCCCCAACTATTACTTCAGATCCCCTTTTATTGCAATGAACCATTACTGGAAGAAGAATACAGACAATGAAAAATAACAAAAATGATGAATCTATCATAAAAACCAAAAAAGTTATTATTGTTTTATTATTCAGATAATATAAAAAGTACAGCTGTAAAAAAATGTTGTATAAATTCTATCAAATATTAGAATAGTTTTGAAAATCAATTCCCATAAACAGATATTATGTACCAACTTGGTATGTTGTTGTGTATACGCATTTTGCAAATAAGACCAAGAATACATATTCTTAGAAACTGGCCATTCATCCCACCATTTTTATAAAACTATGCTGTATTTTGAATATCATTATGGTGTGGGTTTTATCATGTTTTCTAAATAAATCATTCCGTTCAATCCATTTTCATTAGCCTACACCCATAGTTTAGGTTGTTCTCGTCATACCTAGCGTTACTGTTTAACTAAAACAGAAGACTGTGAAGCATAATTAGTAATGGTATATCATAACTTACTAGCAATAAGATTAGACATAGTTCCGGATGGAACAAATAGTGCTGCTTGTTTGCCCAACAAGGTAGCAATTTTACTCTCCAAGGCGTTCACAGTTGGATCTTCTTGGTAAACATCATCTCCCACAGCCGAATTTATCATAGCCTGTTTCATGGCTTTTGTCGGCTTCGTCACAGTGTCTGACCGCATATCCACAATATATGCCATGACTGAAATTTAATGGAACTACTTCGTTAGATAAAAAAGAAAAATAAAAAATTAATTATCTTATTCGTCCGTAGTATGCACAGGTAGTATGGGCCTACACATGACTTTTATTTGATCTGAGAACATGACTTAGAATCTTGGAAAATGAATAGGAGTGATACATAAGTACCTACTATTTTTCTATGTCCTCCAATAAAGAATAGCGCACGAGTTCTTCTTCTTAACTTTAATGGTACTTTTCGTCACCACAATTTAGAACTGGAACTAGCACTCAGCTAGTATCCAGTTTAATATTGTATTATCTATGATTGTAATATTGTCATCTTTGGCTTAAGCTTGCAGTATAAGTATCGCTGAATCGATATATCGATATTTTGAATTCAATATATCGTTATTTTTAACCGATATATATTGATCCAATCTATCGATAAATCGATATATCGATTTTTATTCCTTTGATATATCGATGCTAATATTGATATTTTAACAAATATCGATATATCAACTTTTTTAATTTTCGACATCCGTACTTTGACTAGGATTTTATTATTTCTTAGGTCATTGTTTCTTTGATATAATGGCAACATATCAAATGAATTCCAGAGTAAATCAGAGTCTACCGTCCAACATGTGACGTTAGTGATATTTCAGCAGGCCTATTCGCTAACCCAACTGATAAAATAAAATCGTTATCACATTAAAAAGTGACTTGTATTTCTTATCAATATTTCGCCAATTTGTAATGTAAATGTCGGCTATTTCCACTGAACTCCATTTTGGCACTTGATCTCGTATCGATAAACTGTTGTTACGTAATCCATAAGCACCAGTGAACTCAATGAGTAATTGCATCTGCGAGGTTCTGGAAGTGATGGATATTTTAAGCATTTTTTATATTTTCTAGTTTAGCATTGTGAATGCATTATTGATAAAACACAATAATTAGAACAAAATTAAAATAAATTTAATGAGGAAGTATTTAAAAAAAAAACGAAAGCACTAAAAAGCACCTCTACTAAATGGCGACTCTACCAAAAGTTGATTTTTGCAGGAAACAAATGGACCAAAGACAGTAGTTTCCGTAACATATTAAAAAACTGAAATTTGAAAAGTTCTGAAACTTAGATATCAACACAAATACGAAAAAGTACAAATAGAATACGAGTTTTTTATTGAGTTTTGAAAACTAATTTATTTTATTAAAATATCCGGTTTCGTACATTCTTCCCAATAGTTTTCATCCAACTTTTTAAATACCAAACGTCTCTTCTTTTTTTGTATAGTTTCTGTTGAGACAATTTTTTTTTTTGCTCGTCTTTCTTCAACTATTTTTAATTATCCTCTAGGGCTTATGTAAGTTACTTATATTTCTATACCCAAGGGACAAACATTGCTTCGCGTTAAACGATACAGCAGCAGCACTACACTTTGTTGCATATGAGTGATGAGAGTATGAGGCTCAGAGAATAATTAATGCGTTTACCTCCAACGAATTTTGCTACTATGCTGTGATAGCGTTCAACTATATTGCTATCCACATCGTGGATCAGACTTCTGGCATGGCTAGCAAGATTTTGTGTTAGAAGGCAGACTCTTTGCCATAACGAACTTGAAAAAAAATCTTTTGTTTTTACTAGATCGCCTTTAGTACCCACTTTTTGACAGAAATGTCTTTTGCATCCAGTGTGATTACCAAAAGCGTGATGATGTGTTAGTAATATATCTTCTAGTAAATAGTAAATTCACCTTTTTTTTTTTTTTTTCATTGTCTGTATTACTTTACTAATTGTAATTATTTTTCTATGGCTTAACGGATATTTGGTGTCGGTCGTTAAACTATTAATTTTATTACAGTAATTTCGCATAAGATGGTTACGGAATTCTATTTTTCAACAGTTACCCCATCCTCTCGATAAGGTTACGCTTTCGAAATTTTATTATAAGTGCACGAGTCACCATCTGATATTAAACGGCCATAAATTAATTTATGGGTTGTAATAGATTGTTTGAATCCCATTAAATTTATGTCTGTTTCCATAACCGTTTATGAGCCTGAATAATTTTTGTAGCAGGTATGCTCTTTGGACAATGATTTTTTCTTACCGGCATGGTCACAAACGTAGCAATACTTGTTCTTTACTCCTAAAAATAAAATTACACCTTTTCGTTTTCCAATGATAGCTGCTGCTCCTGATAATGTAGAATAGTTCTTTTTTATATAATCTCTTGGAATAACACTTTACCGCAACAACATCTATTATGGGTACAGCAGTTTTAGAAATCCTTCGGTCAGCTATAGCAAAATTCCTTTCCTTTTTCATAGAGTTTATAGAGTCTTGAGCAACCTTTTCCCAATTTACAATTGTGAGCGTCTCGCATTTTTGAGCTCCTTACAAAAATGCGAGACGCTCACAATTCGCCGTCCGATGTTGTTTGCTTTGTTTGTGTACCTAGTTTTTATTATGTTATGTTCCTCTTCTACTTCCATATCATACCTATAATCAATAATGTTAGTTAACGAAAAATAAAACTAATGAATATTATTTTTCTTTTTATTGCACAATACATATTTATGACTTACTCAAGAGTTTTAACAATGTTTGGGATCGATTCCGAGGAATGGTATTGGATCCTTTTCTATTTTGGAAAATGATAAATTAAACAAAACCGTCAAAATCCTTCATTCACACATGACACTTATTGGTAACCTAATTTTCTGCTCTGTGTAACTTCGTCAGCATAGGTACTGCGTAAATTTAATATTCTTTAGTAACCTGACGTACTGCTGTATAAACGGTAACGTTTTATTTTTATGATAAACTTTGTTTAATAATCTAGGTGGTAATACTTACTCATGTAAAATAACACTTTCACTTGCTTTGGGGACATTTTCTAATCGACTCCTGTTTCTGTAAATAAAACCAAAATAGACAACCATTTTATTTTGAGACAAAGATGAAGTGAATATACATATAATAAACGGAAATAATAGTTAAAAATGTGTGTTCACCTTGTCAGTAATAAATAATATACCTAGCAGCAAAAAAAAAAACTGTAATAGTCAAATGCATCACCCCAACCTCTGTCCTATCATAATCACTTTATTTTATCACTAAACCCAAGTGATAAAGTCAAAGTCAAATTCAAAATAATCTTTATTCAAATAGACTTCTTAAAAGTACTTTTGAATCGTCCAACATTTTTTCCCTACCACTCGTTCAGGACGTCTTTTGGCTGATAAGAAGAACGAGCAAGAAACTCACCAGCTCTAATATGAGTAATGACATTTACAAAAACCATGTCATTACCAGATCAATACATTATAAATAGAGATAAAAAAAACTATGGTCTTATAATAATAACATAATCATTTAATAATAATGGAAACAAGAAAATGAGTTTAGAAGTAATCACCTATCCAGTTGCTGGATCATCTCAAGTCCAAGCGTTCTTATCTGTTACATAATCGGATACCTTATAATAAGCTTTTTTAATAAGTATTTTTTTAAATAGTAGATTTAAATTGCATGATATCTAATTGTTGTATTTTGCTTGGGACCTTATTGTAGAAGCGCACACAAAGACCCTTGAAAGAGTTATTAACTTTTTGCAGTCTAGTGACAGGCACCGTTAATTTATTTTTATTTCTTGTATTAAAATTGTGTACATCACTTTTTATAGAAAACAAACTAATATTTTTACGAACGTACATTAAGTTCTCGTATATGTATTGAGAAGCAACAGTCATAATGTCTATTTCCTTAAATTTCTCCCTTAAAGAGTCCCTAATCCTAAGATTATAAATAGATCGAATTGCTCTTTTCTGAAGCACAAAAATTGTTTGTATGTCGGCAGCATTTCCCCACAATAGGATACCGTATGACATAACACTATGAAAGTAACTGAAGTATACTAATCTGGCAGTATCTATGTCAGTTAACCTACTTATCTTCATTACGGCATATGCTGCAGAGCTAAGTCTACTCGACAATCTATCAATATGTGGGCCCCACTGTAGTTTAGAATCTAATGTTTTTCCTAAAAATACTGTGGTATCCACAAGGCCCATGTTCTTATCTTTTACATTAACATTTATATCTACTTTTTTAACATTAGGTAGTACAAATTTTAAGCATTTTGTTTTTCCTTCATTAAGGAGAAGATTATTTACATTAAACCAATGTACTACTTTAGCGATAGAATTGTTCACATCGTCATTTAGAGGTAACCCTCTTTTAATTTTAAACAAGAGTGAAGTGTCATCCGCAAACAAAACTATTTCGTGATCATCCCTTACAAAATAAGGCAAGTCATTTATGTAAATCAAAAACAAGAAAGGACCAAGTATTGAGCCCTGCGGAACGCCCATCTTAATTTTCGATCCAGGGGATCTTTTGCCATTGATATCAACCCTCTGTACTCTGTCAGTCAAGTATGAGACAATAAAATCCAATGAGTTATCTCTAAATCCATAAAAATGCAGTTTCCTAATCAATGTTTCATGAAAAACACAATCAAATGCCTTAGATAGGTCACAGAAAACACCTAACGCATCATGTGAATCCTCCCAGGCATTAAAAATTTCTTTTATTAACTCGACACCGGCTTCGGTTGTCGAGCGACCCCTTGTAAAACCAAATTGTTGTCGATTCATAAGCTTATTCTTGTAAAAGTACGTTTGTATTTGATCCAGCATGATTTTTTCAAAAATCTTACTAGGTAGGTAGGTACTTAGGTAGGTAGCACGGATATAGGTCTAAAGTTAGTAGGGTCAGATGTGCTACCCGATTTATGTAAAGGAATAATTTTACTATATTTCATGAGCTCAGGAAAAATACCACAATCAGTACATTCATTAAATATATAAGCTAAGATTGGAGCTATTGTCTCAATTACCGATTTAGAAACTTCAATGGAATTACCCCATAAATCAGCAGTTTTTCGTTTTCTTTAGCTGAATATAAGATTTTATTATATCTTTAAAATCAATGTGTTGAAACTTAAATTGGCTATTAGAATTATTTAAACTTGCCTTTAAAATAGATTCAGCAACAGTGGAAGAGGAATTCAAAGATTGTGTAATTAAGACTGGGATTTCAGTAAATAAATTTTC